ATGAATATTACCTCTCTGAAAGCACTTCACCATTCTGGGTTCACAACAGCTGCTTCCAAATTCCTCTGAACCAACTTGCTTCTCATCCTCACTGTTCCAGCTTCTAAGGGTTACATCTGTTAAAGGACACTTCCAAAAACACGTAATTAAAAGATACTGAACTCCTCCAGGCAACCAAAGCAACATATTATGACCTGTTTGCCAACTCTACACAAACAAAACAATGCACCACAGTGTGTTCTGCTCCAAGGGACACTGAAAGCAGTGACATTAAATACCAATCATGTGGGCTAAAGAAAAGAGATGGAAATTTAATCAAAAGTTGATGGCTATGACTAGTAATTTTGCAAGACTGGAATGCCTTAAAAACATGTTCAAAAATGGGGCTACAGTGTCCTCAATGCTACAGTGTCCTCAATGCTAAATTCCTGGGGCTGCATCCTTGCTTTTGTTGCTGGCATCTTCATCTGCACGTAGCTCACTGGGGGTTCCCTTTGTGACAAAGAAAACTGCACCTAAGCCTGGGCAGTTTGCTGCCCTTCCTGCCAGAGCACAGTTGCTCAAGAACAAACATTTCTACCTGCAAATGCAGTGTGACTCTGGCAGTAATTCCCTATAGGAATGTGAAAAACGGGATGCATGCAAAGAATAGTGGCCAGCCAACAGACAGAATCTTGGTTGCTTTTCATCTCTTTCCATCCAGTGTACTCTACAGCATAAGGGATAGTGGTCACTGCACCACAGATGAGTTACAACTCATAGCTACTGACATGCTCTTTTCTGTATCCTGTCACATTTGTCATCTGCTTTGGCTATTTGCCTTCCAGAGTAGGCTCATCTTTGGTACAGTCTGTAAATGCTGAACACCAGCTTCATCTCAATGAGTAACTAAACTTCCAAGGAAACACAGCTAATTCAGATGGTGAAAAAAACAGCAAGGGCTCCACACCAGTGATGCAAAACTGCCTTGCACAAAGGGACATTAACCACAGCCCACAAAACTGAGCAGAAAAATGTAATTCTGTGCCCCAACCTCATTCTTTTAGGTGAAGTAACAGATACACAGATATCTTTAAAACAATGGCCAGTCTCAAGACCTTAATTTGGTTGCAGGAGAGAAATCTGCAACAGTTAAAAACTGTCGACCTTGGAAATAAAAGCAAAAAAGCCTCCTACCAAATCACAATGCAAAACAGTATCTTAGTACAGCAGTGGGAGGAACAGGAGTAGAGTTTAGAAAGGAAAGTATCATTAGGAACCCATTTTGTCCTTTTGCTTCTACACCAAACAGTCACCTGCAGCTAACCAAGGCTAGAATCCTTTAACATCTCCCACCCGAAGTGACTCCATCTGAAAACTGATGGTATCAGAACCAACAGTGTTATAACAGAAAGTTGCACACATATCCCTAACTATCTGGAAATATCCCTAAAAATCCAGAAATTTAGATACTGAAAACACTTTCTTTCCTTCCCTCTACTGGGCCTCCTCTCCTATTTCAAGGGTTGCTTGTTCCAGAGTGAAGTCTCATAACTGGGCTGCAATTCTTCATTTCCATTCCCTGCTCAAAAATTCAGCTGTTTTCAAAATACATGAGCTGTTACTAAGATCAGGCTAAGATGAGAGATCCCCAATCCAAGACACAAAAGTATTCAGGCTGCAGAGAGCACTTTGAATGATTTTGAGAGTACTTCTTCCCTCAGAGTCTTACCTTGCATCTAGGACCACAGAAAGCTGTGCAGAGGGATGTTACAGGGAAGGTTAAGCAGATATTCTTCCCTGTAACACAGCACTGTCCACAAGTCTGGATAAGAAGGCACTAGAAAATTGTATATTGTTTTTTTATTTGTCCAAAAGCCCAAGTTCTCCACATTGCCTCATCCCCACAGAAATGTGACTTCTGATCCATTAGTGACATCACAGCTCTAAGGGATACTGTCCCTCCCTTCCCTGCTTCCTATATCATACTGTTAGGGACAACAGTTGTTACTGCTAAGGGGCTGAACATGGATGGTTACCAGGAATGCTAGAGAGCAGCTTCCCAATCTTTTCCCTTGGAAGAATCCCTATCCCCGTATCCCTATCTTTTTCTCCTGCATCTTGGGGGCTATGGAGAAGCAGCAGCAGGTTCTTCCCTAGAGAGACAACTCCAGCAGCTGCTATATATGCCCTCCAGGAAGGAAAAGATGAGCAGAACTAGAAGGAAGACTTTTGCCTTCATTAGAAATCTTCAAAGGTGAAGTTCTAAAATACTCAAATTATTTTTCTAATTAAAATGCTGAGAAAAAGATGGAGATGTACTCCATCTCCGACAGAAACTCTTCCTAATGTGTTTAACATGATTTTGGAGCCCAGTACTACTTACTCAACTCCCTTCCACCAGCTGGGATAGTAGATCCAAAGCAGATCGGGGCAAACACTCAGAAGGACCAAGGAGCTTGCCCAAATCTCAGCACCAGGCACATGCAGAGGACAGCAGCAGTGACCCAGTGATGGCCAATCTCCACAACCAGCCCATGTCTAGGCTGAAGTGCCCAAGCCAGGAAGCAGTGTCGGGGTGAGCTTATCAGCCTGTGCTTGTCAGACTGGCCTGTACACCACCAGCTAAACTAAGGGGGTCAGTGCAGGGGAAGGAGCACACAGTGGCAGCCTCTCTCCCAAGGATTCCACCCTTGAAGCTTTTAGAGGTGACCTGGTTGTTGCACTGCATGCTCTCCCTTCTCAACTTTACCGTTGCAGCAGGGCAGCCTCCAAAGCCGTGTCTGGAAAAACACTGAAGTGATGACAACATGGGATGAGAGGGTCAGAGAGATGATGATGCAATGTCTGATTCCAAACCTAGATTTTTGCAGACCACCTAGAGGTAAATGCACAGCGATAAACCAAGTTGTCTAGACAGAGAAAGAGTGGATTAGAGAAGCAACCAAGGTGATAAGGCAAAATATAAGGAAAATGACCCAGAAAAATAAAAGAAGACAGTGGTCAAGACATAGCTGTCTGTTTACATCATACACAACTGGGAATGCAGTCCAGACAAATTACAGAGGTTTTCCAGATCTAATGCTAAACAAAATTACAACCTCTCTCCAAGTCTGGCCCAAATACAAATATACCCCACCCCAAGACCTCATCACACTAAGCAAAGCAGACTTTTACAAGTACTCCATTTCTGTAGCTGGCACAACAGCGCTGAACTATTATTACTCTGTTTTCACTATACAGTACAAGTAATATCAAAATCTTGTATCATGAATATCCAATTACTATTTAATTGTTGATACCCAGTACTTAAATTCAAAGAAACATAAGAAAGACAAAGGAAAGCAAAACTTTACATGACACCAACAGATTCTTGATCACAGCTCTTGAATTTGAGCTTTTACGCAAGGTACGTGAAGAGATGGATTGCAAGACCAATCCCTCTCAACAAAGATAAATGAGCGTAAAAGCCAGGAACCTTCTCCTCAGTATTGCAATTTGCTAACTTTCACTCACTACTAAGACATTTAAACTGAAAGATAAACTTATTTTAATTTCTGTTTTACTTTAACACATTTAGGGCTGTGAAATACCAAAAGTAACAGAGCATTTCTCTCACTGAAAAAAAGGAAAACACACTTTCAGAGTAATAAAAAGAATAGTTATCTGTGATAGACACAGAGTAAGGTATATTCTTGGGCTACCATATGTGCATGTGTGCTTGGGACAAGGATAAGAACATGGGGGGCCAGTTAAGAGCAGAAAAAAGACCAGGGGGAAAAAAAATATAAAAAAAAATACTACAAAGGCAGGAGGAGCACACTTGAGGCAGCAGAACAGAGAACACTGCTGAACAACCACAAAAAAAAAAAAGAGAGAACTGAAATACATACAGGGCCTGGAAGCAGCTTAGCAAAATGGGATATATGAAACTAAGAAGGAATATAGAAAGTTCTCAGCTGTTCTACTTTTTAGGCATGAAATATTAAGGCAGAAAAGCACTTAAGGAAGCATCAGCATACGCATCAGCACACAAACAGGCACTGAACCACAAGAGATGAAATGGCCATTACTGTGAAGGAGCAGTCATTCCACCTGCTCACAGAGGTGCCAGAGGAACGGTGTGACACACAGATTTGCAAAAAAATCAACCATAAACTGCAGCTAATGGAGCAAAGGCATAGCTGCAGATGGGCTACCAGCCACATTCCTAGGTATGTTCACATGTAAATTACTAGAACAAGCACACCAAAACCACAAATTAAAATTTACATAAAATGAATATCCATGAAAGGAACAGGAAGAAAGTCAACGATAAGGTGTTTAGTGATAATGTACCAACTCAGCATCTTGCTTCCCTTTTTCGCTTCATTTTTGTAAATTTTGTACAAATTTCAAGTAGGCACATCATGAAAATGCCATCAGTATATGTCTAATTCTTTACAGTGCTTCACTAACAACAAATCAAGAGAGCCATGTGCAAGATCTATAACCCATGGTTAGATTGGCTGTCTTCAGAAACAACAGACAGTAAGAATGTACTTGCCCATGTCTATAACTAGCCCTGCTATTGTGGCTTCAAAATCCAAAGGCACATTATCTCTTGTAGGTTAACCAAGTTGCTTCTCTCTTTGTCTAGCAGTTACCAAAGTGACCATGAAGTATAGCATGATCAGTATGGTGACTTCACTTTTAAACCTCAGGAGACTTGTACCCTCAAGGACTTAAGTGAACTTGTAACATAACTGATAAAACCAAAGGCCTGATGCTATAGTTTCTAAGGCATTTGGGAAGATTATTGAATATAGTATGTCAATATAAAGCATTTAGAACTCTTAGGAATTAAATTAAATTCCTGGAGGGGAAAAAAAAGGTTAATAAAGTGAAGAATACCCAACAGGTTTTATTCTGGCTTAGCTGCAGCTTTGACACAGTATCAACAGATTTCTGAAGTTAACCAGCCCTTCAAGAAAGGGGAGATGGTGCAAAAGGTACCAAAAAGAATCTCACACTCTCATGAATTACAATTCAACTTTTTTATTCAATTCTCCAAGTTAGTGGGACAGACTGTTAACACCACATGTGGACATCACTCCATTGCACATCCCTGCTGATCCATCCTTTCTTCCCTTCATTGTGAAGGAGGCATTATCAAAAGGCTAAGGGCTCCCATGAGAGGCAAAAGAAGACCTGCTGCTGCTGTAGAAAAACCTAAAGAAATAAATAATTGAAGAAGTTAGTCTTTGCTCCAAAATATGAACATCAGAAATGCAAGCAGAAATCATAAAAAATATCTCTGTATCCAGCACCTATCTGGCTTCCCTGATAGCTGCAACACAGACACACCAAGGACTAAGCCATGGGTACCAAACTCTTCTTCTGACCCTGGAAAAGGCCTTTCCAGGTCAAAGAGTGAGATGCAGTGTGGGTTGTGTTCTGAAGATGAAATCTAGTTCCTGTTACCTTTCCAGTGGGTAGAGTTCAATCTCTGCACCTGGTGATCCAGCATCTTCCACACACCTTAGATTCCTGTGGAAATATTTCATGTGGAGGAAAAATTGTGTAAAAGTTTAGCAAAGTCAAACTGCAGACTTTTCCTGCCTAGTTCTCCCACTGATAAAACTTCAGTACTTGCCATCCAGTAAACAACCATTTCCATTTGGGAATGGACAAGCGTTCCTACATTACATTACAACTGCACTACCCCTCCATTACAATGTTGTAAAGGTCAGTGGGCAGGGTTTCTGTTTCCTTGTGTTGGTCAGATGCATGGGAAAACATATACACAAGCACATCAAACTTCCTCCTAAAAGTTCCAAAATGCAAGTTTCAGGCTTAATGAACAATACCATTGAACAGAAATAATCCAGAGAATAAAGACTACCAGGCAGTGTTCTGCACAGTAGCAGCAAGGAGGCAAAACTGCACACACCCTCTTAGACAACCACACTTCTTGTAAATGAAATATTTACAGATATGAAATACATGCAGCTGCAGTTAGTGTGACATGCCCATTCCTCAATAAGGTGTAACTGAAACATTCATCTGGACTCCTGGCCTTCCACTACATTGGTATGACAGGACCAAAAGGATAATTGTGAATACAGCTACTGCTTAGGCTTCTTTCTGTGCTTCAGAGCACCTTCCCATTCAGTATATGCAACACCACGGACAGTTTCCACCTCTTCAGTTCCTGTCTCCCCAAAATGTAACTGTTTTACAACACAAATAAACTAAGTATCAAGGAAGGTCAGCAGTGTCACTGTTTCCAGGAAATCTGCATAGAAGAAATATATACTGGCCAAAGAGGTAGCAACAACTGGGTTACTGGCTTACCTAATATGGATCTTCCCTCCCTCTCCAACAACAAATGATAATTTGTACAAGAGGGATTGTCCTAATAAATTCTGGAAATTAGCATGTATGCCTGGAAATTTACAGATGCGAGAATTAATTTATTATTTAATTTTATATATTACAGCAGTGAATGAGGTTTAAATGGGACATGAGGAGGAATTTGTTCACAGAAGGGTTGTCAAGCATTGCAATGGGCAGCCCAGGGAGGCGATGGAATCACCATCCCTGGAGGTGTTTACAACTGGATGTGGCACTCAATGCCATGGTCTGCCTGACAAGATGGTGCTTGTTTCAAAGGATGGGTGGGACTAGATGGTCTCAGAGGTCTGTTCCAACCTAACTGATACTGTGATTATGTGAAATTAGTTTCTTGCTATTAGAACACTTTATTGAAAAAAAAATGTCAATGATCTTTTAATAAAAATTTCTTTTTCATTCCTGTATTAAAAATCTCAATTATATTGTAATTTGTCTAACACAAAAATGTTTTTTCTTAGCTGTTCTGCTTCCTATAGAAATGGATAACAGTATTATATATTTAACTGCCCAAACACAGTCCTCTCCTTCCAAATAAGCAAAAAGTATCTATTACCCTAAGACAGAACACTGTACATAGCTGCATACAGCAACCTGCCTCCAAATAAAAAAGCAGACACACAGAAATTCACATAAATCTTTTATAAGCCCTTCATGCACAGACTTGGCAGAGCTTAATACAGATACTATTACTAAGCAGACTGTATATTCTAGTAACACTTGTACTGTTTCTAAAGGGAACAAAGGAGGGATGGAGAAATACCTGAAAATGCCTTGCATGGGTGCAATGTGAATTTTAACTTTTTTATCAGCCTAATCCATCACCTACTATTCAGTCAGCATGAGGAACCTATCTATTTCCTCCTTTCACAAATATTACCCCTTGCCTGCCTCTGAAAGTCTATGACAAGAACGGAAAATAATCTGTCTTCTTCAAATCTCTACCACATCAAAGCTGCAGAAAACAGGATGTTTAGGTGTATGTCACATCTAAAAGAAAAAAAAAAAATAAAACCAGAACTCTTTGTTACTGACAGACACATGGAGAACTGTGGAGGATCTGAAAGTGTTGTAAATGCCTTCCTGTTTATAACAAAAAAAAAAGTAAAATTCCTTCCTGACCAGTGACTGTCACCTTGGTCTCTGCTCATCAAAAAAGCTCACATACATTTACGTGCCTCTCTCTCCTACTACGCTGAGAAGCAGTGGTTACAGGTGTAATGGGGCCAAACAAGCCCATGTCCAGGACCAGAGGAACACTCTCCTTCCCAAATGTTACTGTCATGTAAACTCAGTGCAATAACACCTTTAATCCACATAACCACCAATTCAAGTAGGCAGGTGTACATTTAGTTTGTGCATCAATGGAACTTTTAACTCTTCTTCCCCAAGATCCAGTTCCCAAAAGCCAGTATGCCTAGCATATATTATGTATGGAAAGTCTGGTGAGACTCCTTCTTACAGCAACAGCTGGGAATGCTCAAGATCAGCAAAAGCTTTTTCCTGCCTCATTTCTGTCTCTGATGACAGACTGACATAGGCTTCAGATTCCTTTGCCTCTCCTATCAGAAATTATTTCTCTTCATCACTTCTGCCTGACTGGATTTAAAACCCTTTCTCTGTGAGCTTCATCTCACATACAGACTTTGCTCATTATTACATTTAGGATTGCAATAAATTCTCTATCCAAAATATTTTTCATTTTGCACATGCATTCTCATTTCACTCTAAAAATTCAGTTCTGGGATTTCCAACCTGTGGTCCACAGAATACTTTCAAAGGCTGTATGATAACTAAGAATCTAATGAGAAAAGCATACCAGCTGTCCATGGTCCTAAGTGGTACCTGATGTGCACTGGACACTATTTAGCTGCCCGGATATCAAAACTCACATCCAGCTTTGTTCCTGTATATAAGTGTTGTTCCTGATTTTAGTGTGACTACTCCAGGTAAAAAGAGAAAACAGAATTTGCAATTTATTGACTAATACTTAGCTGTAAATTAAGTAGAAACATTTATGAAAATACAAAAGCTACTGCTGTATTCTGCATATTAGTATATATACTGACACAATTCCTTTTTCCCAATCCACTTGGACATGCTTCTCCATATTATCAGCTGATCGAGATTAAAACTTCTCCTGTGTCAGTACTTCCAGTGCTGCTTTTTCCACTTATTTTCTTTTCAGAAGGAGTAGTCATCCTACTAGAGAGTCAGCATTTTAATCTCTAGTGGGAGAATTACTTAGCATGGAGGTTTTGCTACAGTGGAACATCCTGATGACATCTGCAACAATAACTACTTATGGTGTCTACATCAGCGGTCTCCAAAGAGGAGTCCATGCTCCTCAGGAAGCTTTGCAAGACAATCTGTAAGGCTGCAGGGTGAAAGTGGTCTTTTTCACCATTAACAAATACAGTTAAGTAAATGTTTCAAAAATAATCTTCATTTAATCTTTACCTCATCCTTTTTAACTTCTTGGGTTTATGTAAATTTTACAATGTATGTAGTAATACACATATGTAACTTGGGAAAACTATTGGGGCGCATGCTCAAAATGGTTTTTCTGATAGGAATGTGCAATGAAAGAAGTTTCAGAGCCATTTAGAACTGAAGAGGTAGCTGACACTACCAACTCTTAACCACTAACTCAGAAACATTACATAATTTGCATTTCCCGCTTCCAAAAAGAATTTTAACTGTTGGCGATTCAAACCTTTTTTTGCTACCTTGAGATTTAGGAAATCTCAAAAAACAACACTGTTCTTTATTATCATGGCCTTTCTAATTATATATATATTTTTTTTATATATGTATATGTATATGTATATGTATATGTATATGTATATGTATATGTATATGTATATGTATATGTATACACACACGTTGCTCTTAAGTAGCAAAAAAAGCAGCTGGGCTCTCAGCCTATGAGGCTGATGGTAAGGATGTTCGTTACCTTCATAAAATAAAATTCCATAGGATTGCAGAATCTTCCTCATTCATTCCTTGGTTTTTAAACTAGATTACAATAAACATTTTACCAACAGCACAAATATGAACAGTCTTCTGTGGAGCAGAGAATGACTGGGCTAGATTAATTCCTTTGAACCTTATTTTCCAGCACTCTAAATATGTGGTGATTTTGGTGAAACTTAATTTTTTAAGACAAGTACTATCCCTTATAAAGGTAGAGGGGAAACTGGAATGTTCAATCAGGTAACCAAACACCGAGATAGATCAATGTGCCTCTTGTATTACAAGTCTTTTGATGGTCAGAATTCTGGATATCAGACTCACCATTCAAAGGGACAGTTCAGGGATTCTGCCTCTCTTCTCCATTCCCCTTACTCCAGTTAGTATTTTGCAATCCATTTCTCCCAGTACTGGAGGTTCTCAGGTCACAGTCATGAGTGTCTTCTGCTGCTGCCACCTACCAGTTTTAATATTCTGTTGCAGCAGAAGGGCATATAGAAGAAGTTCTAGTTCAGCATGCACATAATCATCATCGCTTGTCTAAGTAGTCATGGCCTATTCAAGTTCTGCATTTCCCCATACGCTACACAAAGCACTGGGCACAACCAAGATCAACACAAGGCTTTGAAAGCCATTCCATAAAGAGGAAGAAGCATCATCTGTAAAACCACCTTTCAAGCCACATTAAATATTAAAACTTTAACTATTACAAAATGCAGTACATTTTGGTAAACTCTCCCCACCAAAGATGACTTGCAGACTCTGCAAAGAACTAGTACTGTATTTCTTTCAAAAAACTCTTCACACAATATATATCTAAAATCAGGTTAGAGATGCAAAACTGTGATCCAACATGAATTAACAAATAAATCTGAGGAAAAAAAATTATTTTTAGACAATATTACAGACCCCAAAAAGACACCCAACCACATGCCTGAAAGTGTTACACCCGTGTCCTATAGCAGCTGATGCACAAAAATATACACAAATAAAGGAATAGGCCTGCCCAATGCTGAGACGCAAGAAGTGGGAGTGTCTGAAAGGAAAAAGCATTGGAAACATAAGTATAACAGGTTTGTAAAATTACGTTGCAAGTAAAATTAAAAGACAAATTATACACTCAATTATACCAATGAAATTGGATATCACTCCACTGACTTCTACAGAGTGATTCCAGTTTTATCTCAGTGTAATTGAGAGCAAAATTTGGCTCTAAAATTATTCCCTCCCACCTTAATTTGAAGCTACAATTTATTATATTGCTGATAACTTTGCTTTCTTTCAAGAAAATATAAACTGAGACTGAAAAGTTGACTATTTTGTGATGGCATAGAGGAGTTAATTAATGTACATAGAAAAATAATCTGAAACAAGTGCTAATTCTTTACAGATGTCTTAGGAAACATAATATTGCATCAGGAAACTTGAAAGCCTGTTTATAGGTAAATATTCTTCAACTTGGAAGGGTATTCCAATTGTCTGATATTTTACCTCTGAGTAAAATAGAAGATTCTCCCCTTAAATTAAGTAAAAAAAATTAAGTATCCAGTACTTTTACATTGTTTGAGATTAAGGGAGAGAGTTACCAGAGAAGGATAAAATGCACAAGTGCTTTGATACAGCAGTCAGGGCAAGATAAAATGTGTCACTCCATCCTCCACAAACAGAAATCATCAGCTCAACAGTCTTTTTCTGCAGCACACATATTCATCTATCTCTCCTCTTTACAGGATCCTGCTCTATTGAATTTTAATAGAATTAACATTCTTACTAGTAGTATTTCATTCCTACTAATTACTTACTTCTGCAGTTATATTTCATGTTCACTTAGCAAATGGAAAGCAATGTATCTTTCAAAAATTAAGCTAAAATATATTTGAAGACAATCTAAAAATGATAAAGAGGAAGTGGAATTAATGTATTACAAAACTATCCCTCATACAGTTGCATGGGGGACTCACTTTTGTCTCACCTGAGTAAAGTAAAGCACAATGACAGGTTCCTAAAAGTCAACAAGTGTAAGGAGGGGAGATAAAGCAAAGCACGGTTTTCTCTAAATCCGGTTAAAGAAATCATTCAACAAGTATCACCAAAATGAACTGATGGGCAGAAAGGAAGTCAGACAAGTTAGCAAATTTATGAAGGTTAGAGTAAGAGCAGAAAAGTGTCAATTTACCTGACAACAGGTCGGTTTTGGATGTCACCAAACTGCTGCATTTACCATTTTACCCGCTTGCATTACTGGGGGGAAAAGTTTAGGAAGGAACATTCGCAAGGATTTTTCATAAGTTCTCACTCTTGCCATCAGAAAGGGGAGAAGGGGTTTTCTCTGGATTGTTTGACTTTTTTGGCTCCTGAAAAGTTTTGCAAAGAACAGTAACAAAGTGTGAACTGTTAGAACACATTTCTGTAAAAAAAGGGAGAATAAGTCACCCAAAATAGCACAACAACAAATCCCACCCGAAATCCGCACAATTAATTTGTGTCATTGTTTTAAACAAATAAACAAAACAAAAGCTTTTCAAGTCAAATTAGAAACATGGGAGGCTTGGAGACTTCCAACAGCAGATCCACCATCAGAATGCTCCAACAGTCATCCAAAGTTTAAGATAGATTTAAAGAAATAAAAAAAAAAAAAGAAAAGGCAGCAAACACCTAGTTATAAATCCTGCAGTGTTCAGTTTAACACAATTCCTAGAACAGTGAAAAAATTAAAAATTAAAAAAGACAGTAGCAACAGAAGTTACCTGTCCGAGCACCTACTATTCCATAGAGAGAACAGGAGTGGGTCGTGTGTCTCACACCAGCCATAAAGCCCATAAACCTTCTCAAAAAGAGTGAGCCATGAGAAAGATACTGTACAATCTGTTTGCAAAGTCTCTCTAAGCCCTTATCCCTTATGCATTTAACTGACAGATTTTTGCAATGAGGGAATTTAGCAAGTGTCACTGGTTTCATTTGTTGGATTTTGTAGTCCAGTAAAACATCTGAAGAAGCATCTCCTTTGCGACTGACATACCCAGATGTTCCAGAGGTTATTTCCCGAGTAAATATCACACAGCAAGGACAGCACATGAATTGGGAGAAAAGGCTTCAAGACTGACCATCAACTCAGAACAAAAAATATAACAGTCAATGTAAACATCAAGCATTGGCACTGTTTTACAGATAAGGTGTTGTAACATTACAAGAAAAGATTTTAGAAAACACATTAAAGCATTAAATACAAGGATTAAGATACAATCCATACATCGACAGCAAGACATTACTTACAAACACATTAAGTTGAACAGAAAAAATCTCCAGTGTTACAGAGAAAAAAATTTCATCAGATGCAATTTAAGAAACTTATTCTTGCAAATGAGTTTCTAACTGGCTCTTTCAAACATTAAAATATACAAAAATAGTTGTATCACCATCAGCTGTATTGGCACCACTGTAATCCACCATTATTGACCATTTTTTCAGCACATGCTTCCAAACCCACATATGGAGGTAGCGTTAGTGCAACTGTATAGAAGTTTAGGGTGTGATTCAGCACACAGAACTGAAGAAAATAAAGTGTATAAAGCTGACATCTGTGGAGTTCACCTTCAACAGGAAACACTGCCTGGTTTCCACAGGCTAGGTGTGTTGGTGTTTTTCCCTTTGAGTAAAAACGAGACACACCCCGCCCCCTTGCATCCCCAGGCCATTTTTTGCATTTCACTGTTTCAGGAGCAATGAGTAAGTAGGGAGTAAATACATGAGACAAGTGTGCCCATTTGTACAAATGAACCCTCAAGCAAGGTTTTCATGCAGCATCAATACCCAATATCCAAACACACACACGTGGTGTTTCAAATCCTGTTTCCCTCTGTGACCACTATGCATAGACTTCTCTCCAAGCTAGTAATGGAAGCACCAACCAGAGGAGCAACTTATCAGAAGGGAGTCAAACTGCAAATCTCACAACCCACTTAGACTTTTTTTAAAAAGTCTTATGTTTACTTCATGAAATTTATGACTGTGAGGTGTAACCTAGACATTTTGAAAGGGTGCTAGAAATGTAAGGTTCCTGTGAGCTACAAGATACTACAGGAACTCAGAAAAATAATCCAGAATATTTAGTTAACTTTCATCTAAAAGATGTTTCCTGTGATAGAAATATGAAAGCCTTTGTATACCAACTAGCACCTGTTTACTCCCTGCTGTTATTCCACATGTGCTCAATGTGTGTCAGCTAGAAAGGGAAGGATTGATCCTATCAGCCTGTCAAGGAATGCAGGCACCTACCAGTAAAAAGGAAGAGACAAAAAAAGAAAAAAACAAGAACAAAAAAAAGAGCCACCCTCCACCCCAAATTCCCCTTGGATAAACAAGAAAGGGAAGTAGAGAACTCTTCTAAGAGAGTTTTCTGCTCAGTGACTAGAGAATTAGGTTACTTTCATGTTCTGTCGTTCTGTAATTCTTCACAGAGGTTGAAGACCTTTATATTCTTCAGGTATAACCTGTGCACTTGAAGGCTCAGTAAGAAGGATTTGAAAATGCCTTTTTACTGCTGAAGATCATTTTTTTGCTGGACCAGCTGGTCCACCTTCCTGCTTAACACCAACAGTCAACCTTTCACTTGATTTTAATAATAATATTTAATTCTACAAAAAAAAAAAAAGCGCCATTTTATTACATTCCTTTTAAAATAAAAAAACCAAACTGTACAAAGAAGCATGATCAAACCTCCATAAAGTAGGTTAATACTGTTCTGTTTATTGCCTCTTGAAGACTCTCTGCATAGTGTCCGTGAGTTGTGTTTAAGGTCCAAGTGAAGGTAAAACAGCAGAGCAGCAGAGAGGTGAGGAAGGGCCACAGAGGTGGGCAGTGCAGAACCTCAGAGGGTACATGGGACATGCTCCATTAAAGTATCCAGAAAACAGCAGCATTGCACACACACAACCCCCCTCCAAACAAACCTATTTTCACAAGATGATTATTCAATTGTAAACGTTTTACTTTTTGTTTTTAAAAAAGAGGCTTATCTTTATATATATATTTATATATATATATATAGCTCCAGGGCTTTATGAACCCCGCGAATAAGAGGGGAATGAAAAGGGAGAAGGAGGAGGAAAAGGAGGAGGAAGACAGGGACTGAAAAATGGACTCAGTATTTGTTTTGGTTATCTGTTTTCCAAACCAGCTCAAGGCTAATGAGAAAATGCACAGCCAGAAGGATTAAGGAAAATCAGGAAGTCTGCAAAAAATTAGGAGCTAAACAGCCAACACCCTCAAAAAAATAAAGGAAAACAATTGTGCACACACAAACACACACGAGTGTGTGCACTCACACCACACACATGTAAAGGCCTAGGATCAATCCCTTAATTGTTTGTGGACCTAGGTTATTTTTTTTCTTTTTTTTAAAAACTCTGGCTGAGCTCTCTTTTTTTTCTTTTTCCTTCTTTTTCTTTTTTTCTCCTTTTTTAAATCTGCCACGTTTTCCAAAGCTAAGAACTGAATATTTCTCCCCAGTTATACTCTTTGGATTTATGCCAACATCAGTTTATGTTCAGTGGGGAAAAAGTAAGCCTGGTAAGTATTGTATGAACTGCAGCTTTATTCTAAAATTCCTCTAGATGACTAATCACTTTTAACCAGCTCCTCCCTCCTCCACACCTTACCACATTCCTCCCTCCAAAAAAAAGCAAACAAAAACAAACAAACAAACAACCCCCCCACCAATGTACAGGCTACAACTCAGTGTTTTCTTAACAAACAGTCTGCGGTGTTTTCACTTTGGCCACTGTTAAAGATGCAGGCATAGAGAAGGGAGTGTTGGACTAGCATGTATTAAAGAAAAAGGAACATTAACATTGCAGATCTCTCTCAGAAAGACTAAAACACTAACAAATACAAGTCGATGCACGTTTGCTTTAAACTAGTGTAATTCTTTTTCACATTTTTAGATTAAACATCATTTTGCATACCAAACATTACAGTGCTGTTTATCTCCTCCAACCATGCAAAAAATAGTTAAAAACATGCCACTTCTGCCCACAACCAATTCCCCTATATACCTTCCAAAATCAGGATTTGAAATGAGAAAAACAGAAGTATCCTCCTTTAAAAGCTTTATAAAGGAATTTAGACACAAAGCTGCCACTTAATACCAAGATGGTACAATCTACAGATTTTTACAGAAAGTTCACATTAAGTCAACTGATACTTCTCTCAGCCTCATCATTTGAAAGGCCGTACCCTGCAAGGTCAAAAAGTGATGACTTTAAAAGGATCCTGAACTTACAGCTCCCATCTACAAGAGTAGGAACAATAGGTGTCCAGGAATTTTGAAATACTTGGTATTTAACACCTTCAACTCACATAAAGAATTTGAGGCACTCGGCAATTTACAGGATCAAGCCTTACAGAGGTAGAAGAGACTTAACTGGTGCAATAATTCACAGAAGTTTCTAGCGAGCTGCCAGACAACTTTCTGAAAATCTTCAAGTGTGAATCACGCTTCAGTGCTTGCCTGTGAAGACACATGAACTGCAATATATCTGGGGACCAAAGCAGCATCCAAATAAAATTGCTGCTTGGTTATGAACTGAGCATCTCCGCTGTAAAACTGATGAAGAACGAAGATAATTTAATGTTCCGCAAATGAGTAAGGACAGCAACCACAGCACGTGTGCCTTTTACTTTTGCTCTCTTGACTGACACTCCCACCCCCCCTTTCCTCATTCCTCTGAGCATCTCTGATAAACAGCATTGCAAGTTGGTTTAAAAAAAAAAAATTACAAGAGAGAGTTCTGTTGGTCACCTATTTACACGTGGCATCACTCCACAAGGAGCTTGATCTCATTGGCTAGTAGCTGGTTCATGTTGAAGAGAGCCCCCGGGAGCTTGGTGAGCAATTCTCTCTCCGTGGTCTCAGGGTCGCTGTCGACAGAGCAGGAGCTAGCACTCATGTTGTCGACAGCGGCCCCAGGTGGAGGGCCCAGCTCTGGCTCGCTAGTCTCGCTGGCCGTGGACACCACGGAGAGCAGGGACATGCGCCGTGTCAAGCGGCCGGGGGCCAGCAGGGAAGCGGCATAGTCCGCTATGATACCAGCTACGTCTAAATTACAAGCCTTGTCAAAGGCAATGAAACCTACATTTGCATTGGCCTCGCAGACGTAGAATGAGCCGTCGTCCTTCATCAGCAGGTCAATGCCGCACACATCCATCCCCAGGATGTTTGACACTTGGACTGCCAACTGCTTGCCTTGTTCGCTCAGCGAGCACATCATTCCTACACCACCTGGAAAAAGTGAAAAGAACTTGCTGTCTGCACTCAGGTCACAAGTCACTGACATCCTTCTCAACCAGGCAGTGCTTTTTGATGGGGAAGCTTCAAAGTCAGCCTGCAAGCACACTGCTGATGACTTAGAAAGCAACCTCTTTTCCACAGTGACTACTAATGAACTTGATGCCACACCAAGATTTCAAAAGATTCTGATATGCCTTTGGCACATCAAGATTATGATTTGTTTAAGAAGAGTTAAGTGATGACATTTTAGTCCAGAAAAAATACATATTTTTATGATCTCAGGATATTAAAAAAAGGAACTAAGAAACCACCCTTGTTCCTTTTAAGGAAGATGCTTTCAAGAGGCTTTCTAGCTCACAAGAAATATTTCAGCAAAATTAAACCTAGAGCTCTTGGTAAGACTACAAATCTAACTGTAGATATAACTGAGGGGAATGGGGATTAGGACATTATCATCATCTGTTCACATACCTCTCAACTTCCTATCACAGGTTACTGTCTCTAAAGCAAGAATTAGGGAACATTTGTGTCTGAACCTCAGCTCGTCAGGGTCACAGTCCACCAACTAAGTATTAACTGGCTCAAGCTTCATCTATCACAATACTTAAATTGAAAAATTACCCAAGTAATAAGAAATAAACAAAAAAAATAGCAGAAAAATATTTTAGGCTATATTTCCTCTGCATGAAGTAGTAACTAAAATCTCTTAGGCATTCTGACTAACCAAATGTGCAATATACATGAACACATGTCATCCCTGCTCACATTCAGTAAAGTTTCAGCCAGGCAACCTCAGGCATCTTTCCTCCTTTTACCCTCAAAAACCCTCAAGTCTAACACCCAAACCTATGCAGAATCTCAGTTCTGAGCATGCTACAATCAATGCAGTAACCTCCTCTTTTCTCCCAGATATGGTCTTTGTGGGAAGAGGTAGCAGGGAGGAACCTGACAGACTTAAGGCAGCACAGAAAATGCACAGCTCAATCCAATTGTTTATTGCCCTCAACAGCTTCCTCACTTAACGTTTTCTTCCACTCTCTTGCCAAATGACTGACTCCTCCACCCCTTAAGTGTTGCTTTCTGTCTTCCTTCATTTTCTGTTCCTCTCAACAGGATGAAACAAATGATAATGAAACAAACGATACATTAGCATCAAACTGCCATTACCACATCAGTTGCTCCATTTGTGTTCTAGAACTTTCCCCTGCTTGTCATCATCCCATCTATCAAACACTTTGAGCAAAGATCATCTCTTCTTCTGTGTTTGCTCAACATGCTTCTTTCTTAATCCTTATTCTCATGTTTCCCCTTTAAACCCCCAGCAGTAAGCACAATTAACATAAAGTAACACCTGCAGCTTATTTCAGTCAGCTCTGTGATTTTTGAAATATTCTGATCAAAACTATGAGCAATGCTTTTCCTACCAAGTGAGCAGTTACTCTGCATCCTCCCATCTGTCGAGCAGCGGAGCATGGTGCCCACCACACGGCCTCCCACTACGATGACGCGCACATCCTTGCCATGGGACTCCTTAACGTATTTTTGAAATAAGTAAGGGGCATCGTGACGGATCAAATGGCTTAGGTCTGCCAAATGGTGCTTGTCTCGTGCCAGGAACACAGCTTTACCTGTATGGAGGAAAGAACATTGGGGTGTTGAAAGCAGCTACCCATCTGAGCTGCATCAATGACTCAGCACATGAAAGTCAAACCTCCGACCGGCACACTGCCTGTTCTCAGAGGCCCCATCTTGTAGTTTATATCCATTTACAAATTCTTCCATGGACAACAGTGTTCCACTGATTCAGTGCTTTTAAGTGTTCAAGTACTGATGGAGCTGAGGAGACATGAGTTTAAAAAAAAACAAAATGAAAGAAGCAAGGAAAAAGAAAAAAGCTTTAGCTAAAGGAGATGGTCTTGCAGTTTCAACTTCTTTTGGTACAAGTCCTTAGTGAGAGGGAAAAAAAAAGGAAGAAATACTTAAAGAGCAGCCAACATGTAATTAATAACAATTTTGTTCATCGAAGAGGACAGGACCCACAGCCTACAGCTTTGACACAAAGGAACCAACAACATGAAACTATTGAACACTGGGCATCTAAGAACTCTGAAGTCTCTAGTGTGCGCCACTGCAGAACCACCCATTTCTCTGTTAGGAAGTTCCTGAGAGATGCTCTTCCCAATACTTAAAAAGGATCACAACTCCAGAATGAGGTCTACAGTGAAACAACTACTTTCAGAGGAAAACGTTCCACTTCACAGTATCCAAGATAATTCAGAAGCAGATTCCACAGACATAAAATTAATAGATTATTCCACAACTGAAAAAACCCTCTTAACAAATCACCAGGTTTTCTGCAAGCAAACATCTCTAAGACTTGGATTTTTTTAACCTAAAATAAGTAATTTCATTCCCTTTCATTTTTAGAGCACACCAAAGACTTGTTTGTTCTTTTCCAGTGGTATTCATACTGGTTAAAGTCATCCCTGAACCAGACTCTACTAGTTTCTATCCAATTTCCAGTCTCACAAGACTGCATCCCATTCCCTCTTTACCTACATTTCCCAACTTCTTTTCCCCTTTCTTAAGGGCTCTATGTCATATTAGATTTATGTTTTGCAATAAGGCTGCACACTTTCTCTTGAAGCAGAACTGGCATTCAATTCTGTTATAGTGTTAACAGAGTACAAACATAAATTGATAAACTGCCCTCCTTAAGTAAGAGAACAGAAATGCAGCACTAGCAGAACTAGGATAAATAATGTGTAAAGAATTCCACCAAGTGTTCCTATGCCCTACTAGAGCAGCCTCTGTTTAGATAGGATTTAAGGTCTCCACAATACAGAACACTGCTTGAGGAACATGGAATTTCTCATTACAGAGACATGAGAATGTAAGCTTAAAATTCACAAAAAGAAAAACATCTATGTTCTCTCTCCCACTACAAACTTTAACTATTCTACAGGCAATTAATAATCTGACTGTATTCCTGAAATGGAAAATGAAGAATGATGCCTAGGAGAGGAACTACTTAGTTCTTGCAAATTATCCAACAACATGACACCTTGACAAAACCAGGATTGGCCCATTTGCTGGAGTAGCAAACTGCGCAGAAAATTGGCCTAGAATAGTATGACTTTTATTCATCAGCCAGTACCTATGACCACATTTGCCTATTTATTTTTAATATAATTTGCAAATAGCTGCTCTTCAATTAATTTGAAAAAGCTTCCCCAACTCTCTTAATGTGAAAAGACATGTACTTTGCATAAATTTGCATTAAAATGCCTGGAGTTTAATCTGGTCTGAAGCAAAACTTGTAAACAGGTTTACAGGAATCCTGGCTAAAAAGGGAGAAGAAAATCAATATCTAAAACTCTAAAATTATTTAGTAGATCTTCACTAGAGGCAGTATTAAGTCAAATCTACTGTCTCAGATATTCCACAGCTGTCAAATTCACCTTGCTGCAACATCAAACCCCACCTTATCATCAGAGCTCCACCCACACTTTAAAACCACACTAACAGGTATTGCTGCTAACAGCAGCAGGTCTGATCTTCCTCTGCCCCAGCGTTTTGCTCTCTTCCATTATATCAACACAAGCATTTGGGCAAGTAAGTGCTAAGTCATGTAAGGAATTAATCTGAGTAAAAATAACCCAACTAGATTCATTCAACATCAGTTCCTGAATCCATTTACTACATGGCTACAGAAGCACTCATGTCAGCAGAAGAGAAGCATCAGAGCAGCAGAGAGTGAGAGCAAACTGACAGAGAGAGAGAAAGAAGTGGTGTCCTCTAGTTATGATTTTGTTTGAAGTAACTCCTGGTTTTGTGTCTTATCTTTATTTTTAGTCTCTTTATAAATCTAGTATTTATTATATTTCTTTTAAAGTATATTAGAAACAGAGCAACTTCCTCTGCAAATAACCTCTGAAATTGATTTAAACATGGTTTCCTTTAGTAACCACTATTTAACACTAAATTAAGTTGATGTTTGTTTTATACTCAACACTTAAAAAACTAACACAGCAACTTAATCTGAACCTGCAGTAATACCACTGACACTGTCAGAGGTATTCTTCTGAAAAACAGAGATTCAGTTTTACAAACAATATGTAAGATTTGAATTAAATCAGAATCTTAATTACAGACAAAGTTAAGTAGGAAAGAAGTCAGTGCATGTTCATTTCTTAAGCCTATTTAAAAAAACACCCCTAAAATCCATGTAGGCTTCTTTCAACTTCATGAAGGCCAGACCTCCCATTATTCTAGCTCAAAGCTTTTCTTATAGAAGTCACCAATGCACCATAATTTTGAACACTTTGCCTTTGAATGCAGCCTTTGCAAGACTAGGTTCTACTAAAACTGCTTCCTAGTGTTGCAGCCTATTCAACAGTGAGCATTCAAGGGTGGTAGAATTTAGATATATTGGAAAGAAGTCCAACACCTAACAGATCTTAACTCTCATTCCTTGATGAGACAAAATCTTGGAGTGCTGCTCAGAATAGTCCTTGCCCTCACCCCTGACCTCACACCCACCTCGATGACCCCGCGTGTTCTTCACCACCATAGGGAACTCCAGCACTTCCGCCTCATCAATCATTTTGGAAAAATTCTCATGACCACCTGGCAAAAAGAAAACCAACAACATTATGTGCTACCAGTCTGCTGTGGCCAAATTTGGGATGTAATTGCCACACATTCCTCCCACCCTTACAGCTTAGATAATGCAGAAAAATCATTAGTTAGGAGGACCTTGGTCATGGAGCATGATCAGACTTGGAAGATGTTTGTGGTGTGTGGGATACTAAGACCTACTTCCTTTGGAATTGAAGACACAAATTGACAAAGGCCTCCTGATCACAATCCCAAAAGACTCAATCTAATCTTTCATATCCAAATGCCTCAATTCTACCATCTTGGTCCAGTTTATCACCTTTACTTGATCAACTTCCATCTTTTCAAATGTCTAACAGGAAAACAGCAGACATACAACACTAGTAACAGTTCCATCCAAACTGCTAACCAGGAAAGCAACATGGAACACAATGACAAGGCATAACCCACAGAGTAGCAACAACCCAGACCTTGTCAGTCCACCTCCCCCCTCTGAAAGCTTAAGTCTCCTGTATCTCATTCTCCTTATATCCTGAAGTAAGCAGTACTTCAAACTTTCAATCTCACTGCATCTCTAAGGACCTTAGAGTGTAGCTTTTAATGGCCATTCACACAATTATGGTTGATACCTCAAGGTTACTTGAGTTCAATTCAAAGAAGGCTGACCACAGCACAAGAAATACAGAAGAGGAAAGTCAGCAGACAAAGGGACAAGCCCTCTAACACAACGTGCAGTAAAGAGGAGAAGTCAAGCCAAGACACAAAGTCACAAAGCCAGCAGCAGCCATCAGGACCCTGCCATGGAATTTAATGCATGTCATGGAGTAACATGTCATTCAGCACATCCTGCTTTACTTGGCAAAGTCAGCTCTTACTGATAACTTGATACTTGCAGCTTAAAACAACAAAAAGAAAAAAGAAAAAAAGAAAAGAAAGTAATGCTTCTGTCAAATTCCAGAGGGAGACACTAACAGAAGTGGGAGGGAGTTATGAACAAACAGGTATGCTCTGCAATTATTAAGCATCATTCCTGGTCTCCCCTTCTCCCCAAAAATTAAAAACTCATTCCTTTCTCAAGACATTAGAGCAACCACATGTATAAAGAATGGGTATGTTTCTTCTCAAATGTGTTTTCACGGCAATTGATGGAAATAGTAATTCATAGTAATTGACAGAAAGCCATGGTTTTGTCAAACTTTTTTCTCATTTTGTCACGTTCTCTTTACAAAAGCCTATTGATTCAATCACAGAAAAGGGAGGAACGTACTGGTATTTCCAGAAGGAACAGAAGGTTGAGAGATATCTACAATTCTATAATAGATTGTAATTAAAAGCAGAAATAGTACCAGGGTAGCTCAGGAAACATCAAATGGTTCCTCTGATGTAGCACTGTGTCAGGAACCAGAGATACCAGAGAGTCCAGAGGCAGGCACAATAAAAAATAATCAACTGTTTTGGTGAGAAACAAAGCCTAAACTATTGTTAAAAGGTGAACACAAGGGCTCGTACTTCTTGCTACTCTTGTCCTTTCACAAAAACTGATGTATTTGCAGACATTTTTATTCATACAGGAGTTTAATCTACTTTCAGGTTGTACCAAAGTCTAGTTTTCTGTAGTACTTATGACATTTAGTACCTCAAGCTCTTGTCTGTTGGTTTGGGCAATTAGAAAAGACTGGAAAGTATTATACCACTAACAGTCAAAGTCAGTTGCTCGGAAGGCTGAGGTACAGTTCAAGTACTCTTTTCAAAGCATCAAAAGCTAATCAACAAAGAGAAAACCAGAATGTGGGTGTCATGACTTTAACTTCTTTTTTGGTTATTCAACACTTAGCTGTGGAACTGGCCTCATGCTACTTAAATTTCCACGGATTTCCAAAACTTTTATCTTTTGCACTGCAAAAGCGCAAGTTGTCTAGGTAACTGTGCTACCCTTTTGATCCAACAGCCTTACCATATGAAAAAGTGTCTGGAAGAGGCACACCATGGCCAGCAAGTTCTTGAAATGTCCAGAACTTGTTGACACAGTTGAGGATGGCTTGAGGACGATTCATCAATCGACAGCCCATCTTCTCTAGGTGGCGAAGGACTGTGATGTCGCTGTCACTCTGGACCCAAGGTGTTGGCACACGCACAACCACCACTTGTGGGTAAGCAGTAATGAGCTCCCCTTTCACCCGGAGACCTAAAGAAGGAAGAGAGAAAGACATCCCAGTTTTAAGTCAGAAGATCTCCAGGAGAAGGTAAACAGGCGCAGAAATACTGCACTATCTGTGATTACAGAGATACCAGACTTCAACAGCGAGTGTTAAAAAAACACAACTCTCCCCAGTACACATGTTGTCAGCTGTGCTGTTTCACTCATGTCACTCAACTCCCTTAAAACTGGGACCAAACTAAAACCAGACTTAATTAGGGCTCAGTCTTGGGCTCCTTCCCAGGGTGGCGGACAGTTTACAGGTTGACACTCCACCCTTTCTATAGGTGTAAGCTGCACACTACACTCACACCAGCTGTATCAACAGCTCAGTAGGTTCCTGCCTCCCACTGCTGGTTCTTGCCTACAGGATGCAGTTCATACCTTTCCCAGTCCCAGCTGTATTGATCCCTCTGTTTGTGGCACCACGTTACACAACATATTGCCAAAGTAACAGAGACTAGATACGATCCTTAAAAAAACACAAAAAACCAGCAGTATTTTCAGCAGGTCATTTCAACAATCTGATTTATATTAAATTAAGTAGTCAGAAATAATTTTACCAGCAAACAGGGAAGCACCCTGTGACAAACACAGAAACAAGAAGGAAAGCCAGCTTTGCCACCAAGATCAATATATTACTTAATCATGACCTATAGTTTTACAGGCTAATTCTCTGAAAAAGAAACACTGAAAGATGAGCTGCAGGATAGGCATACAACAGGATTGGACAGGAAGGCATCAAGCTCAATGGAGACAGTCTGGCATCTGAGGACAGGAAAAGACAAAAAAGGTTTGATATTTACTTTATTTGTCTTATGTTCAAAGCAAAACTTTATGACTTCAGCAAAAAATACTCAGCTCACACTGCTGTCAGCACCCTAAGGGTTAAAAAATTAAAAAAAAAAAAAAAAAAAAAGTGAGCTGAGAAATCACAGTGCATCTGCATCTTGTGCCCACCAAAGGCCACCTGTAACTAGTGAGAGCTAACCAAATTTTATTACCTGATTACTGTATTCCAAAGATGCTACATTACAAATACAGACACATATACTCTGCATGAAAGCACCAATTGTGAAGCTATATATTTCATTTCAAGGTGCATTAGAATTAATTGGGGGAGAACTGGGAGGGAGGGGGGAGAGAAGAAGGGGGGATTCCCCCTCTCTGTACTTCCCTTTTTTCTTTTCTTCTCCCAGCCAGGATGTATTTTAGACCTTGCATTAAACATAATGAAGCAACCACGTAACTCCCAAAATGGAAGTTGAAATGTGCTGCCCAGTCCTCAGGAGAACACAACCACACTCTGGAAAGGCCAAAACAGAGCCACATCCAATACAAATCCCTTTTTCCAATCCCCACAGCCATAATTGCACAGAGATGAGCAAACATAAGCAGACGGGTGCTCTGGCTGCTCACCTCATTAGCACCAAGCACTGCCGCATTGCAGCTGACATGACTCGCGTGTTTAAGCAAGCAGGCTTCAGACACACACACACTCCCCATTTTAGAGAGGCATCTCAAGCAAGATTAAAAACAAGACACTGCTACAAACCTAAGCAGACTGTGAACAGCACAAAATGGACTACCACCTCCTTTAGCCAGAAAAGGAGTACAGATTCAGCAAGCAGATTTTTTTACTTATTAGTCAGATTCCACCTTACACATGTATTTTTCCATTTAGGTGCATGCCCAATTACACCCACTTTTGCCAATGTAATTGCATGCACATCCTGATCCACATGCAAGCTGTGCAACAATCATTCTAAAAACGACTGCATTTTCTACACAGCCCCAAAATTGCCACCGTTATCTGTGTTGTGAACCAAAACGACACAGTTTTCCAATTCATAATCTTTCAGTCTATTTTGTTGTTTTGCTTTAAAGTCACGCCACATGCTGAAGTTTTGCACCATGGATTCTGAAAGAGAAAAACAGCAGTTTGAGGAGATGTGTTTGTCTCACCTGAAATTCTTCTGAGTACCTGTGATAGACTTGACTATCAGACTGGTGTAAATTTAGCCAGGTCACCATCCCCCTGAAGTGACTTTGGAAGTACAATGATGTTATCAACAGAACAGTCTGAGCTTTTGTTTCAGATTCAGTCACATTCTCTGGTCTGGATACTGTTCTTCCCAGAACAAAATTTCTCTCCCCTTACAGAAGGCAGTTTACAAACAAAAAGAAGACCTACCCAATGAAATGTTTAATTTGAATTACTACTACTGATATGCACCATAAAAATTAGCTGCAGTCTCCCAGCAACACAGTGCTGCAAACAGAAACAGCTTTATTACAGTAAAAAGGAGAGGCAGATTCTGCCATTTTGGAACAAGCATGCATTCAGCATTCCATCTGAGACCCATCAGTTAACAATCAGGTTAATGGTCATTATTGCCAAGTGGGCTGATAAAATAATATTTATTCACTGTGATGTGCAGTAAGAGAAAGCAGTAACACAGAAGATATGGGTAATTTTTTTCCAAAGAACTGATTCATGAATGTAAAGAAGAATAAGGGAAAAAAAGACTACAGAGATGTTACATAGTGGTTAAGAGGTTATGTTGGTTTTTTTTTAAATCATAGATTGTGCTAAGGTGATAGGGACCCACAAGGCTCATCATGTCCAACTCCTATCACTGCACAGAACAGCCCCAAATAAGCACACCATGTACCCAGGAGCATTGTCCAAACACTTTTTGAACTCTGTCAGGCTTGGTGCTGTGACCACTTTCCTGGAGAGCCCGTTCCAGTGCCCAAACACCCTCTGCATGAAGAACTTTCTTCTCATATTCAACCTAAACCTCCCCTGACTCAGTTTCAGGCCACTCCCTCAAGTCCTGTCACTGGTCAGTACAGAGAAAAGATCAGTGCCCGCCACTCTGCTTCCCCTCATGAGGAAGATACAGACCACTCAAGGTCTTCCCTCAGCCACCTCTTCTCCAGGCTGAAATAAGCAAGTGACCTTTTTCACAAAGTGGCACACCAAACTGCACACAGCCTAGATGAAACCCTCCTTTCTTTGCAGTTACAGAGCCATCCTGATCCCAAAGCAGTAAAGCAGGTTACACTCACTGTTGCCTGTGGACAATGAACTCACACAGAAGGCAGACACTCAGATCATATAGAAATACCTTGAAAAGTAACAAGTTAATCCATTCGTTGACATTTTCAGTGGATGCCCATGACATTGCAGACACAGCAAAGAGACAGCTATACAGTCCTTTGAAGTACCAATAATATAAGCCAGGAAAGGAAAATTCAAGCTTATCTAATACTTTCAACTTTCTCACCATATAACAACCATTTTACCAATGCCTGAGGAACAATTTTTTAGGTTATCTTAAAATATTTGGGTATTCTTTGGTTCTATGACATAAATACTCATGAGTTGGAATATCACACAGTAAAAACAGATGTAAACCCTGCTCTTCAACAAGACCTATTCTTTCACTCAGCCTCAGCTGTCTTTGTTCTTTCTCTGCAAGACAAAATTCTCCAAAATAGAACATGGTATACCTATAACATTATACACCAATCATCACAGCGTTCAGACAAAGTACAAAAGGAATTTTTGCAATGTGAACTTTAATCACCTGGGAATAAATGTCACCAGTTACACCATAACCCCTCAAAGTCAGAGCCTCAAGTTTCTCTCAAAAACAGCTCAAAGTAGCACATGATAGAACTGAGTGGGTAAATGCATGATTATTCATCAGATGGCCCAGCCACTCCTCCTGCTTTTCACTCCTAAAGAACAGCAGGCAAGCTTAAAATGCAAAGCAGCTGGTCTCTGCTAAAAAGGATTATTTTGACCCAAAAGGTAGAAGCCATCACATGAACCTGTGAAAACCACAGAAAACAGAGCATTAAACTGTACTAAAGACAGAAGAAAGAGGCAGAGATGACTACTGCTGTTACCTGTGAGGTCAGAAGATGGGCATCTACGCCCTTAGAAAGTTCCCGAGACACTAACCTCCAGCACAGCAGAGCCTATTCACATAGTAAAATACTCAAGATGACATCTGTCTCTATACTAAACCTGATTTAGTATAATTTTAGGATGGACAAACATACTCTGGGAAAACAAACACAATGATGGCATTATGGATGGTTAAAAAGGATCAAGATTTTAAGCAACTGTGTGTGGCTTCTGAGCATTTTAATTCACATCCAAGCGGTATTTTAAATTGCTTACATTTTTGAAACTCATTCTATTCCATTTGCAGCCTACATAAATCCCTTCCAATCTCTGCAAGACTCATTCATCAGCAGATTAGTAACTACTGCAAAGCAGTATCTCATGTCCAGTTTGTATGTTACAAACAACTGTACTTTTAGTTGAAACAATGCAAATGCTTTCACAGAAAGAATGTAGTTTCAGAAGGTAAGTCTAAAAACTCCAAGATTGCAAGGACATCAAAAGTATTTTCAGATGCTTTATGTATCTTGATTTAGCAAACATTAGGCACTTTTAACAAAAGATTAAATCTTAGTAATATTAAATAAATTTATAAAATATGAAGCTTTTCACTGTGGCTGGAGATAGCTGGTATACTGCCTTGCTACTCATGGAAGCTCATGACCTATCAAATCCACTTCTGACCACACAGATCAAAAGAGCAGGAATGATGCACAAAAGGTGGTTTTGCCAAAGCTCACTATGCAAGGGGCACAGCAGTGGTAGTACTGTACTCACAGACACCACACTAAAGCTGCCATGAATTCAGCAACATAAAATATTCTAGTCATCACCTTCATTCTAATTGACTTCCTGTATATATTTCACAGAATTTGTCTGAGAATTGTTTGGCTATGAGAAGTTCCCAAACGTGACAAAACAGTTAATGTACACGTACATGCAATTCCATGTACAACGTGGGTAACTATGCAAAGAATCCTCACTGTGTGGCCTCAGCTGCCACAGGCTGCCATTGTAACTTCAGTGACTACCTCTGCCTTTAGCAAAACTCCCAATAAACACCAGCTCTCTGAAATACATAAGTAACAAAAAGTAGGAAAAAAATGGTTTAGTATTCAGACAGATCCAGTACGTGGAATACTTTTTCCAACAGGCATACCAGCATATAAGTGGTTGGTCATTGTGCATGCAGCACTACAAAAAATAAAATCTGAATCAAATTTCACTAGCACAAAACATACACCAGCTCCCACCACATTTCCAACAGGAGCTAGCAGGGTCTGGGAACTTCCAGATATATTACACAGATTTTTCCTTAGAGATCTGTAGGCTACCCTGAAAGTCTCCAGCTCTCAGAACTTTGTTATACAAATTTATTCATCCACCCATCCATGGAGCTGCTAACGTTTCCCAAATGAACAGTCACTCAGCAAGCAGGCTATAATGAATTCAACTCAGTCAGTTGGGAGAAACAGGCAAGCCTTCTATCACACAAACCTTTCCTCATATTTTGATAATATTACATCCTGCTACTTGCTCTTCACAATTCATCAGTTCTTCTCACAGACATCACTGAATTTTTCTACAAGCCTGGACTTACTCCTGCTCTCAAATCAGTGTATTCCCAATTCATTTGTCCTCCCAATACCTGTCACCCAGAAGACACTGCATAATATTTGCATTAAATCATTATAAAGTGTTTAACAATTACTTACAGTTTACTTGCAGGGAATTAAATGTGTTTCACCCTAATTGCCATGTTAAAGCAAGCTTAAAGCTCAGAAGGGCGATATCCCAAACCTAAATAGCAGATTACTGCAATAACAAGTTATATATTCCTTCACTAAACTCCATCACAACTAAATCTCTAAAATTTTCAAAACTCAGCATACTTCAAATAATCTTGGCAAATGTATGTGTCAGAATTAAGGAATAATTAACAGAAGTAGAATTAACATTAATGAAATACTACTGTGTATCTCAAAAGCTTGCTGCTATACTAATTTAACTTTATGTATCTATCCTATAACCCAACTATAAACAACATAAAATTTCCAGAAATTGGGTGATAAACATTCTTTTTTTTCCAATTTCTTTTTTCAAACCTTCTTTTAAAAACGTAACTTCACTGAAGTGTATAAGTATTTTGGAGCAATTGGCAATTCCTGGGGGTTTTGCCAAAGACAGAGGCAGTCACTGAAGTTAAATTCCTCTTCTGAGAAGTGGCTGCTTGTGGCAGCTGTATGCTAGATAAAGTATCACACTTCAAATGCAATTTTATTTGAACCAGAACTTAACCTCTGAAAGGTAGCTAAGCACTGAAATTTTAGAGAACCACCAATTTATTAACATCAAACTGAACTTCCCCTTTGAAGTTGTACAGGAATTTTTCCTGTATCACTTATCACCCGACAGCCACACTTTATTAGTCTGAACATTAAGTTGTCACAATTCCTCAAAAATGTCATTGCCATGTAAAACCCTCTTTGGTATCTAGTACTACCAAGTATTTTTTACTCGTGTCCACAGAAACAGAATTCTCCAATAGTTCTGTGCTGAGTGTTTTAAGTTCAAATTCTCTCCCTTCCTATCCTGCTCACTAGTTTTTTCAAACCAAATTAACAAGTGCTAACATTCAACCCTATGTGTTCAATATGACCTCACCCTCCTTCTCCACAAAATCTTAACCAGAAAGGCTTTCCCACCAAGACACACCTCCATAGCTCAGCAGTATCAAGGAAATCACACAGAGCAAAGAGAAAACTGATCTCTCTAGAACAGTACTATGCCACTGTATTCTGAAAAAAAAAAAAAACAAAAAACAAAAAAACTTATTTTGGAAAGCAGAAGCTGTATATTTAGCAAGCTCTTATGATGAAACCTTTACCTAAACCCACTGCTCAGCACAGACTACACTTCAAAAGCAGACATCTGTTTATAATTCAGACAAGATATTTTCGATTCTATATGGTTTAGATGAGGCCTCTTGTATCTCATTAGGATTTTTGTACAATAGTTCCACAAAGTGTTCTCAGAACATTCCTGGGTCAAATAAGCATGACTGACAGAGTTTTAGAAGTCTAAAGCATCCTCAGCTGAGACAGTACCCACTTGTGGCAGGTATCTGTCTTGTATCATCTATCCAGAGCCTACCAACACTGAGAGCCTTAGAAATAACAAGTTCTGGAATCCCTTCCCCAACTCAAATGCAGAAAGCCATAAACACTAAACAATTCCATCCAAATTCAGTGTTACAGAACAAGAAGAGAATCATAAAATCATTAAGGCTGTAAAAAAACTGTAAAGTCAAGTCCAGCCATTAACCCAGAATTGCTAAATATATGTAAACTAACCTTACTGTAAACTAACTCCACTCTTAACACTCAGTCAGTCTTTCCCGTGTTTTACATGTGCCCTTTCTGTTCATTCTGAAGAGCAGGTGAAGAAAAAAAGTTAAGGATACACCTGGAAAAAAAGGCTGATTGGAAAGGTCTTTCCAAAAGCAGAAAGAAATCCCAAGGAAGATTTCAAGCAACCCACAACAGGTTCTCCTCTCATCTGAGATTATTCTCGTTTTTTTCCTGTAACATCAAAACCTACTAAATACCTTTAAAATGCCTAATATAATGCACCTCATTTCTCTCTGCTACCAAACAATACCTTCTGACACCAGGAGATGCCATTTATTTACTTAAGCAAAGTGCTGAAGCAAAGTGGAGAAGCATCCAATGTTAATTTCAATCCGTAATGAAGACACAGATCCTTCATATCTGTCTCCCAAAACAGAAAAGATAACTAGAAGAAGGTCTATACTGTCAGAAACTTTTAATACATTCTATCCAACTCCTTCTCCTTTCCAATTTTTTCCTAAATATATTTAGCTAAGCCTGAATCCTGGGGACTGGAAAGATCCCCTCAGTTTATTGTTTTGACCTGTCAATGCAGTCTAAGGCCTTCCTAGTCAAAACTGCATTCAACTTATGAATTGGAAGCGCTTGTTTTTGAAACAAATGCATCCTTCTTAAAAGAAGGAATTTAGCTGTGGTATTTTGGGAAAAAAATGCATTAAAACTGACTCTAAAGATTGCAGAGATAATATCAATTCCTGTCAATTGGGAGAGTGTTGTTTTGTAGGGGTTTTTTAACGTGTCAGAGAAAAACTTGTACATGGACAGACAGTATACAACAGTTCAAGTGTTATCATGAGTATTTTCCTCCACTAACACCTTCAGTTCCCTAAAAACATTGTTCTAGACCAAAAGCTACAACCCAAATTTTCTTAGTTTTTACAAACATTAACATAGAATCATATACTAACCAAAAGTAGAAAAGGAAGAATTCCATTTTTCCCACACCTCTGTAAGCAAGTTCACTGAGCTTGTCTCCTCTTCCTGACTTTAGAGGGTTAAAACTATACTGCTGTAGCTGTACACATGCTCCCATGCCCATATTGTAATGAAAATACAGATATAAACCTGATCTGGATGCAGAAGCTTCCACCTAGTCACAAAACATGCTAACTAATTAAGATACTTAGTATCCTCCCTAATTAATACACTCCATACAATCTATAACTTTCTTCTTGAAAGAAAATGCTCCTCATTATTACACAGTCCTTCCAACCAGTCCAATCAAATAAAAAAAAAATCATGTAGTGGTAGTATTGTACTCACAGACAGCACACTAAAGCAAGTAGAAGGGACATCCCCCCCACTGTCAGCTTGTTTTGACTTTTGAAGGCAACACATTTAAGAGATCAGCCAATTCACCACTAACCTCTAGACTGTAAGGGTAATTCTGTGCTTACCAATCCTTACAAGCTGGTAAGCATCTTTTAAAACATTTAGTCTACACTACACGTTCTAAAGCTCTCTTGTCTTTCTGAAATAATCACCCATCCAATTTACAAAGAAATAAAAATCACTAAGGGTCTACAGTTCTCGTCACAAACAAGTCAATGGCAGAGAAGAGAAATAAAAGCTTTTTTACCACTTCAGGTATGATAAGTCTCCTTAGTTCATTTATCTCTTCCACAGATTACTCAAAGAATCACTTTTAAATATTTGCAATTACATTTTTCTTCAAGTTCTTCCATTTTACAGCAACACAATCATGGAATTTCATTACCAAATGCCACTCTTGATCTGTTCTTAGTTACTGAATTGCAATTTACATTCATTCCTAGACTGTGCCTCTAACAACTTAAAAAGATTAAAAACTCTGAAAGGAAAAGGTCTGACAGCATGCTATGAACCTTGGAAGATCTAAGCAAGAAAAGGGAAGAGGTGAGCACCTCCTTAGAAATTCCTGTGCTGGAGAAAGGTTGTGGTTCTAAGACAATTTTGACTTAAGTCCTGTTGCTGTTAGCAGTTTTACTCTCCAGCTCCACGCAATCCTACAGTGGCATGTAGTACCACCCACTCCCTATCACTCTTACACAGACCCACTGGTGAGCTGGTAAGCTTCCAACAGCAGCAGGAAACTCTTCTGTTCTGTGGAATTCAATTTCTTGCAGGTGTTGCAAGCTGAACAAGTTCACTGCAGGATCTGATGAATCCAGGTGTCAAATGCAACAGAGAAACCTGGATCACAGCAAGAACAGCAAGGATCTGAACAGTTTAAATTGTCAAGATAGTGCTGTTCTGAGACAAGATTTCTCTATAGTGAGGTGGGTATTCTTTACAACTCAATGGTCACTATGCTAGCCCAGCCTCCAACTTCGTAAAACCAAACCAATCTGACAGATTTCTGTTTCTCCAAATCCTGTCCTATGCAGTTAATACATCCTGCAGTGGCTTCCACTCTCTCAGGTTAAGAAAAATTTGCAGCAAAACTGCTACAAATGCCCAGAGTTGTTCAAGCAGGACTAACAATTACAAGCAATAAGACATGCAGTGTACATGTACAGAATCCTTTCTGCCTGCAACCACTGAACTTATTCAACTCAAAGCATCCACAAAGGGCATGCACTTTCAGAATCCTGCCTCACCTTTAGTCCCAAGCATGTAAAGAGGAGAGCACAAAGAACCATTTCAGTTTTAGGCCAGAACTATCCTGGGAAGATTGACAGAAAAACAAAAGGAAGCAGTATATGAACATGCACATTTAAAAAACTTTCAGTCAATACTAAGTTCTTTCTACCTTTCTACCGGCACTTACCATGACTTCAACCCATAATCTCTCCTCAGTTGGCAGCTGGTTTACATGCCTGAGGTACTGTAGTGAATGCATAAAGGGTCCTTTAGAAGGACAGGCTGTGAATATGAGAAGGGTTTGTGCCCCACACAAAGGAGCAGATCACATGCATGCAGCTCTGCTTTGGAGTGCACAGAGCTCAACAAGAGCCCAGCAACTGATACAGCATGCTAACACACTGTGACCATATATTTGGACCACCCAGTCCATGAGGGTGGTCTAACTTGGTGACAGACTGAGAGGCTGTAGCAGATTCATCCTTGGAGATATTCAAAACCTGACTTCATACACCCTAAGCAACCTGATCTAACTTCAGAGCTGGCTCCATCTTTCAAGTTGGCCGCTGTTACTAGAAGGTTGGTCCAGACAGCTTTTAAAGGTCCCTTTCAAACTCTATTACCCCTGTGATTCTCTGAGGCCTTCTCCTGCAGTATGCCTGGGCTCTTAAGTTACTTACTGTTATGCCCTGCTTGCTCCACTATGCCCTGTTTCATATCTCAGAATAGGTATGTGGGTTCACTGGGTAACATCCTGTCTTTCTTTTGCATTATCAAGACCATCTGACAAGTTCTTCCAGTCATTAAAAAATTAAAGATCAAGTTCTTCATGCTAGAAGTGGAAAGTGCTTTTATAGGCTTGGCAGTTGCAGGAAAGAGACAGGACCCAAGGCCTGATTCTCCGACCACAAGGAAACTTGGAAAGAGATCAAAGAAGAAATTTAATATATGGTAAAGGCAAATCCTGTCTGGAAAGCAATGTAACAAAATGGGGAAAGAAGTTGTAAGCTTTTATTGTTAAGTTCTAAAGAAACAACTGAAAACTGGCCTCACATATCATCATTTCATTTTCCTGGTGGATGTAGTAATCCAACAAGACAGGCCTTCACAGAAAGACGCAGGTGCAGAAAACTGTCAGGGACACAAAGGGTAGTCCCCTTTAGATCCTGAGCTGAGTTTGAATCTAGTTTTCTGGAACAAAAGCTACTTCAAACCTCAAAAGGATTTTTAAGGTAAACTTACCAAAACTCTGTTCCACCGGGAATAAGCAGAGATGGACTGCACTCCAGACAAAATAGAGTTTAACCTTTACTCTGTGTCTACAGGATATTCCTAAATGTTGTCTGAGTCAGGGGAACAAGGACACATAGTAACACTAGCAGGAGAACTCGGTATGGCCTCTTCTCTTATTAACAACCTTCACTAAAGAAAAAGGCATGAAATAGGAAAGAAAGCTGCCGCACAACACAGAGAGACAAGATTTGCATGGCTCTGCTTTCTAGAACAGTGTGGTAGGTGCAGGGAATCTGAAGCTCATAAAAAAAACAACCAGCTGCCTCTGCCACAGCAGGCTCAGCCAGGCTCACTAGTGCTTCCCTCCTACTTCATATTAAGAAAAATCTCAGCTCAAAGCAGGGCATCCTGCCTGACCACAGAACCAAGAATGTAGTTCACCCTGTGAATCTGTCCCTCATCCAGGAACAGAAGGCCCAACACTTCATGTTGATGTCCAAAAGCAATATATTACTTTTTTTATATATATGAAGATATCCTTAACCATAAAAAACAGCCTGCAAGGCACCTTATAAAATATGAAATACTGAAAGCAGTGCTGTCAAAAGAACACAAACTGAATTCCAAGAATGGAATAAGCCAATTTCCAGAGCATCTGAGTACAAGAACAATGGGGACATGCCAATTTACATATTCATGAAACAAGTATAAGTGAAAACAAGGTACAAGAGCAACTCCCCTAGGTATTTAGGTAAAATTCCTTGGTCTCACTGACAGAATACATATTATCTTCAAGGTAAATTTATCCATGGATTACTATTCAAAGACAAAAGTATTAGGTCACCCAAGTAATTAGTGATCATTCCAGCACTCCTGGTTTCCCCTAGATCTACATTTTTCAAAACCTAGATAGTAAACAGTGTTGATGCATCCAGCACAGTCCCTATGTGCACATACTTTATTTACAAAGAATGTAGGCATTCAATATTACATTCAAAAGCTACATTAAGAGAAACTATTTTAGCCACAAAGTCAAGCACACAAAAGTTAGATAAAGTCACACCTAAGGATGTCTGTAGCACTGATCTACTACCCCACACACATACCGTCTTCAATTACACGAACATTTTTCCCCACAGCAGATACCTAACGTGCACAGAAGGTACAGCACTCATTTAACGAGTAGTGACTGAGGATTGTATTTCCTTTTACATTGTTTAGTGTGTAATCCATTGGATTGAAATCTTTGCTTAAAACACACCACTGCTAATTTCTTCTTGCATTTTATGTATTGTGCTTATCACAGTAATATCGAAGTCCTTCACAATCATAATTAATTTTGTTAACACCGCAGGAAATCAGTGAATATTCTACTGATACCTGGGTTTCTCTCCTCCATATGGGAGTAAGTGTTGACAAACGAATTCTAGATGCCACATTTGGAACACCATGATTTCTCAGTTGCTCATGCTGTCCTGATTGACTTCATTTGTGGATCTAAGTATTCAGCTCTTTCACAAAGCTGATCCTAGCATCCAAAGTCTGGGCACTCAGAAAATGCAAAAACATGCAATTAAAGGCAATTTCTGAGCAGTTCAATTTAAATCACAGACTAACATATTTTCTTCCAGCAATGTTCTGCTTCAATTGTCACAAATTTCTGAAATCACAAAAAAGGCATCCTACAAATTGTCCTCTTCACCATACTGCAAGTTACATTTCCAGAACAGAACACCATGTATGTTAAGGAGGCTAATGAAAAAGTAGCATGTAATTAAGTAATTTAAAATGTAGTGATTGAAAACAAATACACAACACAGAAGACAAAATTCCAAATATTATTTTGCCAATTTCTAAGTTTAGGTTATTTGCTGCTGCTATTCATAACAGAATTTTATCTTCATACTTGCAGATAAATCAAAAGCGAACTTCATCCCTTGGCACCTAAGTAATACCTGACATGGTGGAATAGCATGTGAGGGTGAGACTAGCTTGCTCTGCCCCAAATTCTCACTCCCCACACACACCCCCATAACACTGATCCCACTAGACATTCTAGTTTGTTTCCAAACCATGGATTTCTCCTACTATCATGCAGTTTCTCTGCCTGCAAGTTTGAATACCACTGTAACTGCTCACTTGCCTGCCTTGCCTTCAAACTTGTTTCCCATTTGAGTCTTCTTGTTCAGTTTGCAAGTTTCAACACAAAACCCGTGCCCCCACCAATTTCAATCTCCAATTTCCTTCATGAGGGAAGCAACTCCTTATCTAGCAAGAGTTTCTCTGCAGTCACTTCCTGTTACTGTTTCTTGTTCCAGCATGTTTGCCAAGTACACTGCCTTCACACCACATTTTTCTTCACCAGCACCTCAGTCCCCACTCCCAAACCAATTTCAATTCTCTTATCCCCATTATATCTGAATAAGCCATTCACGTCTTTGTGTCAGAGGGAAGAGGTATAACCAATATGAAAGAAGATCCCTACTTTAAATTGTGTGCTCAGACCAAACTGTATCTCTCATCCCACAGCCGACAGAAGGCCACAACACCAGAGGTCCTTTCTTTTCCATAATACACAGCTATGTTTCAAATGTTTTAGCTGTGAAACCTTAACAAGTCTCTAAGATGCTGAACATATTTTTTTTTAAATGATAAATTATTTAGAAAAAAATGTATGTCTACTTTCACTAGCAAAAGCCACTTCAGTCAAGCTGAGTTCCTGCTCCAAGCTTCTCCTTCCAAAAAGATCCTTACAGATTTGGGGTAAAACATTCTTTTTGCCTTGAAGTGTCCTCCGTCCACTGCATGACTTGGCAAAAGATTCACAAGACAGCCTCAAAGAGACATTTAAGACTTAAGAGTTAGATGTATTATTAATAAGGAAGGACAAATTCTAAGCAATAAAAATCTGATGCAAAGGTTTAGCCCCCTGTTAAGATGGGTGATGTGAGACCCATCTGCAATGCCAAAAAAACCCTCATTCAATGTTTTATCAGGTATAAATACATCACTTAAAAGGTAATCAGTAGTAAAACTCAACATTTCCTTGACCAAATTAGGCAAAGTAATAGTTTTGTACCAGTGTCACCTGTTTGGCCAACAGATTAAACCATGGTTTTGTTTCATATATAAGACAGAAAGCAAAACAATATGCTCTTCTTACTGGAAAGCAAGGAAGAAGGCATTATAAATTAGGACCTGTCATCCATTTACCATATTGGGTGTCTCAAATTATACTTTTAAATAAATCCTGACTTTACCAGGAAGTAAGCATAATGTCAGGACACCAGCAATTTCAGCAGTTAGGTCAACCATTCAGATGTCAAAGCAAGTAGCTTTTATTGGGGGTGGGGAAACCAAAAGAATCTCTTCATTAGTTCAAGACCTTCACAGTTCTATCTGGAGTATAACAAAAAACTTGGAAGAAGTAGCTTGAGTTTTCACACTAGATTCACAAAAGGATTTTGGCACTTTTCACAGTAAGCCAAACTGGTGGTGAAGATACCCTTTTTACCTCATGAGTCAAGGACAGTTACTTGGATATGGAATCCAAATACTGACACAGTCATCAGAGCACAGAGTTTCCTAAGCTGATCTCTCTCTGTATCATGTCACTCTGTGTTACATAAAGCATACATCTAGCACACCAAAAATTAAAATATTCCATCTCTAAGGTCAGGGCATGAACCTGGGAAGAATTATACTTGTACTTACTACTTCAAGCAAAGACAGATGCTAAACAAGTCTAACATTGATGCAAATGCCCCAAACTCCAGATTCTATGTACTTACAGCTCTTTTCTCCATGTGATGGATGAGTAAACTCCTGGGAAGGCTCAGCAGAGATGAGCAAATGTGAAGCTCTGGGAAAATAAGGGAAGTGACTGACCACAGCTGCAGCTAAGAAAGCTGACCTTATAATATGATGACTAGAGAGGTGGAGCATCCCTTCCATAAGGAAAGGCTGAGAGAATTGGGAATGCTCAGCCTGGAGAAGACTTTCAGATGACCTAATTACAGCCTTTTAGTACCTGAAAGGCGACTACAAGAAAGATGGTGAGTATTTACAAGGGCACGAAGTGACAGGATGAGAGGAAATGACTTTAAACTGAAAGATATTAGGAGGAAATTCTTGATTATGAGGTGTTGAAGCACTGGCACAGGTTGCCTAGAGAATTTGTGGCTGCCCCATTCCTGAAAGTGTTTGAGGGCAAGTTGGACAGGGCTTTGAGAAGCCTGGTCTAGCAGAAGGTGTCCCTGTCCATAGCAGGGAGGGTGAAATGAGATGATCTTCTAGGTCCCTTCTGATTCAAACCATTCTATGACAAAAGAGACCAAAAGGTGGCTTTAAAGATAAAGGTGTGTAACAGAAGATTGTTTGTCTCTCAGCTGAGTGAATCAATTGCATGTGTAAATGTTTGTCCAGGAGAGCAGCAAGAGCCTGAATGCCTTCCCAAAGTAACGAGACAGCATGGGGGAGTGTATCCAGGGCTCAGCCCAACCTAGAGGATAAAAACAGAATGATTAGCCAGTAGAGTTTTGAAGAGAGCAATGGGCTTGAGTTAACTTAAACCCCTTTATGCCTTCCCAGGTACTGGGAATGCCCAGTGTTGTGATGGTGAGCATATCAAAAGGACCTGTAATGAGAATCACCTATGCATTGTGCTCCAACAGCTCTGTCTATGCTCTATTTCTAGATTGCTTGTCAAATAATTCACAGCTGTATATTTTGAACAGCTAAAGAGAACACTCACACAGCTTTTTACAAAAGACTTCTTCTTCTGTCCTTGAAAAAACTTAAATTAAAAGTAAATCATTCCCCTCAAAGTTCCCCAGCATTGTACCAACACAACAAGACAATTGACATGACACCTAGAGGATACTTTCAAATCAAGTTCTTAGAACTCAAGGGAAATATTTATTGATCTTCTGACTGCTGTGTTTCCCTACCAGATCTAATTATTCTTTAGACAGAAACTGCCAAGAAACAGGATTTGATAGCATGGATTTTGAGCACATTATTTAATGGGTGTTACATTACAACTATTATGGTGAACAAAATCTTTGACCCTAATAACTGTGTCAGTACAGTCCAACCTCCTTCTCAGCTAAAAAATCAAGAGCATTGACATACCTAGTCTTTTTACTTCACACCTGGACAAAATGGATCAAATCACTTGTGTGTCTCTTCCAATATCTGTTCTTCCATGCTTTCCTCACAGATGTGTCAAGATGGGTAACAAGCACAGCAGGACAGTCCCCAGTTCAACATCTGCCCTATACTGAAGCACAGAGCAAGAAAACCTTTCTGTATAGTAAGAAAGGTTCCCTGTAAGTTAATACAATTAGTGTAATTTAAGCAGGGTTTCTCTGACAACATAAGCAGAGCACCTTTGCTGTCAGGTATTCTCCTCAAGTTGTCAGGGCACCTGTAATATATTCTGCATCAACTTCCTTAGCTTTTGACAAATAAAAAGGCACTTTATCACACTTTTAATCTTAAAATGGACTAGATCTTTAGGGAGATGGAAATCATGTAAGTTCTACCATTCAAAGCATAAGCATTATAAGGACAGCATCACAGATTTTTATGACATTGTAAATATTAATTATTTACAATATAAGGAAAAAAAATTGATCATTTCTGTCGCGACATTCTTTTTGTTGTTGTCCTGCTCTTCATTCCACCTTTTCCATGCAGTAAAGGGCAGATATAAAAGGAAACTGTAATTCTTAAAACCAGTATTTCACCAAAATTTACATGAGAGTTTATAAAAATAAGAAAATTAAGGGACTCATCCATGGACACTGGTACTCCTAGAAGTCCATATCAATCTAAACACAGGTCTGCACACTGGAAGACCATCTCAATACAGGTCAAGGTTCAGCAGTACCAGTCTGTCTCACATTCACAGTCACTGAGAATCATTCACAAATGGACAACCACCGAACTGAGAATAGGTGGACAAAGTCAAAGCTGTTACTGCTTAAAGAACAAGTGATAAGAGTACTTCTCTGATCACAAATCTGTGAAAGCAAGCATAGCCATCAGTTTCATAAAATAAAGTTTTTCACATCAATACTTGTGCTATCTTCTAATCTCTCCCACTCCAACACACAGTTTGCCCTTCTGATTTAAGTGCTGAAGAACTGTTTGTGCAGCCACGCTGTTGTTCCCTGACTCGAGGACTGATGAAGTCTAAAAAAAACACCTGCCACCAAGAACACACTGGTTTAAAACTACATCAGTATGCAGACCCAGTTCACAATACAACTGCTCAGACAAATGTGCCAGCAAAACTTGCTTAGGTGACACAGCATTGTAACAGGGATTGTTGGAAAAGTGACACAGAAAAACCCCCAGCCAGTAAAAGACTGTCTTGTCAAATGTTAGGCTAATTTTCATTTCTCAACTAGGATGTATGGAAACACTTATTTTATCTTGCTTTTGTCCCTTTTTACATTGTTTATCATCCAGATGGTCACTCCTGAGAATTCTTACAACAATTAAAAATCTGGCAATGCTTTCTGGCATTTTCAGATACGATGACATGCACGTATGTTCAAGATGATGTGCCCTACAAGTCTGATTTTCCTGGCTGGTTGTTCTAGAACACATGCAAATGAAAAACTTCAGACCTTAACACAGCCCTCTGCAATTAACATAATAAAATATTTCCATGCAGAAACATTCCCACCCCTCCACCTTGCCAAGGTGGCTTTGGACTGAGCCTATATCTACAACTGGTGACACACTGAAGAAACAGAACAATTTTGAGAAAATCAAATTCACTGTTACCCTTTGTTATTTTAGCATCAGTTTAAGATGACAATCATTCACATAAGAATAGAAATCCCTGACAGGAAGGAAGAAAACTGCAAGAACACCCAGGATGGTTATGGAGTAAAAATTCTTTTTTTCTATATGCATTATAAGAAAGTTGTCTTTGGTGTCATAATTCTGAAAAAAAAAAAAACCAAACCAATTCTTCTTAACATACATGGCAGCTGTTGAAAAGCACTGTTGTTAAACTACAATAATAAAGCAAATGTCAAGTTTTTTCTATTAGAGATGTGTTCGTCTTGGGTATCTAATACCAGGGTGTCACATACTAGATTACACCCTCCTCTAAACACAGCTACCATTCCAAAATCTATATATAGTCCATATCTATATAGTCCAAAACTATATAGTCCATAGTTGCCTAAGAATAATGTTTATGGTTTTAACATCAATCAGACTGGAAGTGATCAATTTTCACAGTGAAAAAACATCAGAAACAGTTTCAAGTGATTCTAAGACCAGCACTTTCCACAGCACAAAATCCACTTCACGTCTAACCACCTTCCAGTCCTTTGCACACAATGCAGTCCCTTATCCCGCTCTCACTTGAGTCACAAACCGATTTCCCAACTCTGCAGAGGAAGTAATGGCCGCTCTGGCTGTAGTTAATAGCAGGAAACAGGCCAACTCTGCAGTGCTCAGAAAGGCACCTTGCCAAGGCTGCCTGCCTCTGTTCCATCACTCCCGAAGCCACTCCTGCATGCTGCAGGAAAAGTTCTTACATTAAGGTGCACTGCTGGACTAACAAGTGCCAGGGGACTACTGAAACAGCCAGAAGGAAGAGGGCATGACTATGTTCCCTGTTGTGTGACAGATGGCAGTCTTTAGGTGACTTAAAAAAAACATTAAGAGTTTGGTATTTTGATATGGAAACCATTTAATATATGTAAAAGCCCTCTCTTACCATGGATCTAGCTGATTCAAAGCGTTTTTCTTACCATTACATGAAAACACAAGAATTTGTAATCCACCCTTACCTTTTTTCCTCCAGCTTTCCATACTTTACAGAAATCTTTCAACTGTGCCGATTCCTTCATGTTTATTTCAAATTATGTCTAATCCAGTGTGTGAAAAAAAATCAAAGATCACAACTACTCATTACTAGCTCAAACTAAGTAAGAAATGAAGGACAGATCATACAAAACAAAAGCACATCTTGCAAGATGAAAGACTTAAACACGACACTGCCTTCTATTGCAAAGTTCAAACCCACACTGGAAATGCAGATGCCTAAATCAGCACACCAACCATTACCAAATTAAAAGAATCTACCTTCTAAGTAATTTCTCTGCAGAAAAAAATGAAGGTAAGAGATCTGTTTCCAGATGCTACCCATCTGATTTAAGAAAAGTCAGCTGACTGTGCACAATGTATTATTGTTTTAGAATACATGACTATTACACCCTTTTTATTCCTCACCTAAACCGAATGTGAAATTCGGTTTCACATTCCCAAAGGAAAAGCCAAGAAAGTCATAGGAAAAGTTAATACTTTGTTTTATACTTAAGTCACTCCAGCATCTTCAACAGCTCAAAGTTCATCAAAGCTACTTTCCTTAAAACCATTTTCCTTCACAGGACAGTATCAGAAAACATGGAGATTCCAAAAATCTACAATAAAGGTATTGGTAAATTGCTGACTGAGTGATTTCCAATTTCTGCTGTTCCAGTAGCAAAAAAATTTAATGAAAGTATTACTATGTATAATTTTAATGAGGGAAGGATCCAAATTTTCCTAACATTTTCTTCACCAAATAATAGTTCTTGAATTATGCTACCTTACAGGTAAGGTGTGGAGTCTGTGGGGAAACATACTACTCAATCCTAGACACAGGGAAGAAGAAAGAATATTCAAAATGAGGAGACAACCCATGGTATGTTTTGTCTCTTGTCCATAAAGTCCCCCCTATAGGGTGGGATTTTCCTACCAGCTTCCTCCACCTCCACCTTATCCCACACCACATATTTCTGCTCACAAGCTTTAATTTGTTTAGCTGGAAATTCCTCAAGCCTATTACATCACTGCATTAGCAAGCTTAGACATATAGTTTAAAAGTATACATTTTGACAGGACTCACTACTAAGACTTCACAGAGATGTCTAAAAAATGTCCTGCAGAGTTTTGTTGCATTACTTGCTATGTATTTCAAATAAATATAGGAATTGCCAAACTAGATTAGAAAACTAGACATTGAGTTTGTAATCTTTACATCTGGTAAATACCAGATGCCATGCACAAACAAAATAATCCTAAAGCTGACACAACCAGACATTCCAACCACGAGAAAATTCCTGGTTTGAAGTATTTCTGGAGCTATAACTAAATCAACATAAATACAAGCCATTCTCTGAAAGAACAACCCCACTCGAGCCTGTGTACCAGAGCTAGGAATTGTGTGACCACAAAAAGGGTTGGTACAACAATCTATTCCAACAGAGAACTGTTAATTATTTGGTGGAGTTGGTCTTCCAATGGGTTGGCCAACTCAACTCACACAAATACCAGATCCTGCAAAGTAGCAGACAACTTGGTAAACCTTTTTTTTTTTTTTAATTAGCTGAGATACAACATGAAAGCAACCCAAGAGAGACATGAATTCCTTTACAAGGCAAGCAGCAACAGCAAAGCTGGAAAGAGACAAGAGGAACACAGCTGCTCCACTCAGCAGCAGATTGTCCTAGACTGGTTTAGTTTCAAGAATTTAGCTCTTAAGAAACTTAGGCTACAGCTACACAGCTTAAGTTTAAATCAAACCAGTCCAGTTATCACCCTCCACTTTCTTGTCCATTCCTGTGCAACAATGTTGTGCATGTCTGATTCAGTAACCATCTCAACACACTCAACCCACCATACAAGCAGAAAAAAATAATTTATACAGCTCTACTCTTCCACTTATTTTTTCTCAGCTTTTGCCTTGTAAATCTACAGAGTACTACTGCTACTGTGGAAAAGATAAAGGAGTGCATGGGCTTGGGTAAGCAGACACCTATTCAAGTAAGGCATAAACCATAGTTAATTTCAAAAAACACTTGTTTGAACTTATTTCCAAAACCGTTTAAGCATAAATCGGTTTAAGAATTTCCTTTTAGACTAGAAAGGAAAAACTTTAATTTTACATCTTTTAACTTGCATTTACAATCACTTCTGGACTCATGCTGTGTTGAAGTATTTAATGTGGCTCTTGAGCTGCATACAGGTTCATCATGTGGCCGGTGATCCAGGGACTGTATGGGGTGCTTGGGATTTTGGGTCATCCTGAGTTTCAGCTGTGAAAGAAAAGGAACCAGCAGGGATTGCTGGGCCTACACTGTTGGTTTGCTTTTAGAATACAGCCACACTTCCCATCCAGCCCTGCAGTACAGCAGAGACCTGCCCCAAGGAGTGGCTGCTGCTGAATCCACGGAGTAAAACACACCCCCCCCTCCTCCCACTTTCCCTTTGGCCATTACAAAACTTATCATTTCTGACAGACACAAATTTTGTAAATCTCAGCATCACAAAAGCTTTATGAATCTGACTTTGGCCTGGGCATCAGTGATACCTGCATGGGTGTGCTCTACTGTTAAGGCTTAAGCCATGTGGTTTGTGGAAGGGACAATTTTCACATGCATGTATCCCATGGTTCTGCTCAATTTTCCTACATTTAGAAGTGTCTTTTCCACTCTACCCCTGTGAAGTCAATAATTTTAAGCTTTTTAATATCTTATGCTGAATTTTTGGTCTCTGAAGTCTCCAGCCATGTTCCTGTCAGTCAGCAAGCCCACAAGAAGGATTACTGACTCTGTCATCTAAAGAAGTACCACATTTTTGAGGTTTTAAATAGCGCCCTGTAATATCCAACTTGACTGTGTAAATTTAACATTCTTCTAACAATTTACTTAAGAAATTGTCTTGGTTTTAAAGGACCAAAAAAGCTCCAATCAAAGTGTGAATATGTGGGAAAAAAAACAGCTATTGCTTCCTCCAATATCATGTATTACCTTCAGAGTTTGAGCCTTGAATTGCCAAGCTTTGAGACAAAAAATAATAGAAAAGGAAGCAAAAGCACATGATTCTCCACTGAAGATACATTCTCTTCATCAACTCCTCTGTCATAGAAAATTTTACTCAACCTGGATCCGTCACACAACAGTAGATAACAAAAAGGGTACAGAATGCACTACCTCCTGGATTTCGTTCCAGGACACCTTTTCCTAGGTCAACTGAGGTCTTTAAAAAAGATAATTAAACACAAAGCTTTTTCTTGTGCTGTGCCCCCCAGCAGAAATCTTTATCAAAGCACATGCAAAAGCTCTAGAAAAAACACAACTGGAAAATTAAGAGGGAATATTATTCATTGCTCTCTCCAAGAGAAGGAATTGTTTGATACAAGACAATTGCCAATGCTCAGGGAAAAAAAAAAAAAAAAAAACAACACAATTAGACAGACCAGACTACTTATTAAAAAAAATTTTATCCACAATCTTTCAGCACTTATATGTCTCTCCTTTTCAAATGGTCAGTTATATACATCATATTGAATGAACACTTTGTATGTTTGTATGAGAATAATTACCCTTTTCTTGCATTTTGTTCTAGTAGTAATGTTCTTAATTTTTCTTGTTCTTTTACTACACATTCTCCAGTATTAGTTTTCCAACTTGCACTACTTTTATCCTTTTCCTTGCAATAGACACAGCACTAGGAGACATCAGACAGAAGAGAGCAGAAAGGTCCACAATTTACACTTGCCCTAACTAATTCCCCAAAAACAGACAGAAGACAGAAAAGAAGAAATCATCAAGAAATAAAAAACGGTACTGAAATGCTGAAGGACTAATTGTGCATCTCAGAGACTGCAGCTACAGTCCAGGATGGCTATGTTCCCATTACACTCTGTCCAAAGGAAAACACGCTCAGAGCTCAGACTTTCTGACAAGAAGTTACCTTGATCTGAAGACATCCTACAGAATTTCAATCTGTGATAAAAATCATAGGACTCCTCAGATTAAAAGACAAAATAGGTAAACAGAAGTTTAGAAATACCAGAATAAAAAATACTGGATTTACCACACATGTGTTTTATACTTGATTGATTCATGCCAAAATAGGGTATAAATTCTGACCAAAGTTCTTCCCCAGAGTCAGTTTTATGATTCCCTTCCCACATATGGTTTCCCAAAGAGGAACAAGGTATATATGGCAGCCTTTTCTTCACGGCTGAGGGTACTTTCATATTTTCTTCCCTCACAGAATTACTCTAATACAACTTTCAGAAATGTAATTCTTCCCTGGGTCTCCAGCAATACATTTTTTTGACTGATAAATGGGGAAGAGGAATGAAAGAGTTAAAGGTAAAAAAAACCCACTACAATCTCCTTGCTTTAGGAAATCCAAATTAACAAATGCTGAAACAAAAATAAATTATAAGTGTTACACAGCTTGACATTGGTGGTATTAGTATCTTCCCATCACATAAGCTTACTATCTACAGTAATAGATAGTAAGTAATAATCCTTTACTTAACATTTCTAATGCAACTTAACATTTTATTTTTCCTTTTTAATCAGCACAAGAAAAAAAAAGCTAGTAGGAAAATAGAACAGAAATCTTACCATTTAGTTTTAAACACTGTAAATTGTAGTAATAGCTCAAATTATTTGATGCACATACTTTATCAGCACTGTTCTTTTTTGGAATTCACATAACTTCACATCTGTACAGCAGCATGCTTTAGTTACGTCACATTATAACCTCTAGTTCCATGACACTTTGCACTTTTCATTGAAAATTCCTTTTAGATTATTTCCAGAGTTTTCTATTTTGGAGCCAGAACACAAACAGAAGAAAAAAGTCCCTCTGAAACTCTTAAATGTGACCCACAAAGTTCAAGTACTGAAGCAAAAATTAAACTCCATGATTCCTTATTAATTCAGGGGTCCTGTAGTCCTTACCCTAGACTCACCAAAATGAAACAATCCTCCTCTCTTTTCTGCAGAGGGAAGGCAAAAATGGCTCTAATGCAAATTAGCAAACTGAACAATTATATTTGATTAACGTAATTCATTCTAAACAAAAACTGTAGGATGTACATCTACATGATTTAGATGATAAATGGTAGGTAGTCTGGCATATATGGAATTTGTTATTAAATAGTACCGATGCTCCATTTTACAATCTTTTTCCAAGTACCCCTTCAGCACACTCCTAGGCCTAGCTCATTCTCACCAAGATTTCCATCCTCAATGGTCAGCACCACTTCATCCATCACCAAGGCCCGGAAATCCAGCTCCTCTTCACAGCACTTGGCCTTCAGTGCTCTCAGGATCTCCTGCTGAGGGTAATCTTCTCTGATGCGGCGGTCTGTTAAGAACCACAGCCTGGGAGCAACTGAACTGCACATCTTGGACTTGTCTTGCAACCTTCAAGGTCTCCTTCCAATGGAACTGCTAGACAGTGGAGAAGATGAGACTCTGTTAGAGTACACAGGCTCTTATCTTCATGATCCCTGCTGTACTGTCCCGCTTCCTCTGCGCAAGTCAGTCCATTTCAACAGGCTGCAACTTCCAACCTCCAGGAAGCAAAATAATGTCTACACCTACTCTGCAACCAAAAGTACCAACAACAGAAACAAATCTGTTTCCATTCCATGAATGTTAAATGCTAGAAATTAGGTCCTGGTCTCATCCCAGCTTTCTGCTCAAGAAGAACACAAAGACGTAACTGAAAACAATTTGAATGGCCACATCTGAAGGCCAGAATTTCAACTTCATTATTAGGATAACTCCTTCTAGTGAAATAACTCAGCCTTTCTCCTAGGCACTGCTAAAATACCCAGTGAGACACTAGATTTGTCTCATTCCACCACCTATGAAAGAGTAGAGTGTAACAAACTCTTTATGTTAAAAAAGCAGACCAGAAGAACAGAAATTCATTACCACAGAATCTTCCAGGTAACTATTTAGGACTGTTTTGCTCTCACAAATATTTCACATCTGCTGTGAGATATACTTAGAAATATATTAAGTAGTATCCAGAACACATAACAATGGTAAAGCCAACAGAAACAAGGAACAACAAACTGTCAAGAATACAGAACATTAACACATAAAATAAAGCAAAATCAAGGTCAGAGTGTCAGTAGTAGCCCTTTCTTGCTTCAAATCAATTTTTTTAAACCACCTTTACACATAAACAACACTAATGAATTCAGGAGCAAGAACAGAAAATACAGTTAAAATTGAAGAATTTCAATAGGCTTAGAACTGATAATAGCAAGGTACTGCTCCTTTTGCTTTGAATACAGAGGACGTGGGCTATTTTTGACTGAATATATTTTTACTGAAATATTTTAAAAGCTGTAAACCAATTACAGGTATATTAATGGACTACTCCTTTATCTTCAAGAAAGACAAGCATGGTGTAGGGAATAGGAATTCTGGGAAAAAACAGAATAGTTTTCTGTGCCACCTTTAAACTTTCCTATTAAAATAAAGATGTAAAAATCATAACTTTCACCAATATAACTGAATAAGCTCCTAGCAGAACTGAACTCTGAGATAGAAACAGGAGTTTTGCCTGGTAGTCATAATGACTGCTGCCAGCAGACAAGGTATGTACTAAAACATATTTAGTATATAATTGCTATCACTTGATATTACAAAGGATTTTAGTTCCTGCAGCAGGTTCTGGGACAAAAGGATTGTTTAGTTACAACTATAAGAACCAGCCAGGTTTTTCTAGCATTAAAAATCTTTTTTTTTCTACCACAACAGCTTTTTATTAATAAGAAAATAAAATTTCAAGTGGACATTTTTATCCCTGGTACTGAGAACCGTAGTAACAACACACAAAGACTGTGAGATTTTTTTTTTCCATTGATTTGGTAAATGAGGTGCAACAATAAAGCCAAGGACTACAGTTCTTCTAACAGCCTGGATAAAGGCAGAAGCTATGGAAAGACAATCACAGACCCAGACCAGCCCTTCAATGCAGTCAAGATGTTCAAGGTAAAGCAGGAAAAAGAGTGTTTGCTCCCTGCACAAAAATGGGTGTGGGAAGTTATAAGAAGTATCTTTTGATCTCTCCAAGAACCTCTTTGTTCTTCAAAGCAGCTGGAAGTGAAAAGGGCAAGACGAGGCTTGGCCTGGCGATGGCTGACATTTATCAGACCCTGCCCCACTTGTGTCTCCCTTAACAATGCAGGTCTGGAGGCAGTAGTTTACAGGACTTCCTGGAACGACATCCCGTGCTGGGCACGGGACAGCCCGTGCCCGCAGGAATGCCCCCGCCGCAGGCCCAGCCCGGGGCCGCGGGCACTGCCCCAGCGCTGCCATTTGCAGAGGGCCGGCGGGGCCCAGCAGCGCCACCTGCCGCCCCTGCCGGGCAGCGCCGCTCTGCCCCGGCCCCGACGGGCGCGTCCCGCCCAACAGCGGGACAACGCCGAGGGCATGGAAAAACACACCACGCACACCTTCTTAGCGTTAAAAAAAAACAAACCAAACATAAATCAGAAACCATCGTGAATTTTCTGCCGGCTTCGGGTTTTAGTTTGGGTTTTTTGTGGTTTGAGCCTTTTTCTCCCTCAGTACTGGTTCTAACGCAGATGCAAGAACCAAGTATTTTCTCCCCATTTTGCTTTTTTTGCCAATCTGCTTCGATTTTTCTCAAAGCTCTTCACTACATGGCCCCATCTCCACCCCCTGAAATACACCATCACCTCTCCCTGACTGTCATTTCAGCACTTAATTTCTTAAAAATCAGCAAAGGGTCAAAGAAGAAAGAAAAAAGGCGTATCCTTCTCTTTCCTCCATTTTCTACTTCTGAAAGAAGTTACAACATTGCCAAGAAGGGCCACCCATAATATATCAACGATGATATTAAACCAGCGGGTGTACAAAAATGCCTGAGGTATGGCTATTCATCTTTCCCCTAATACTACATCTCATTTGCTCAAAATCTTAATTGTTTTATAAATGTATATACGAAAGCCCGCATCTTATCATAAGATAGGCAGGCAACAATCTCAAATCTGCAAGCTGAGAAGCTCACTTTAGAACAAACTTACAAGCCAGCAGCAGAGACAGAAACTAGCAGTCCTAAATCTTGGATCCTTCACCTCCAATCCAGTACCATATTTTTTTTTCTACCCAAAAGAATTTATTTTTCTAACATTCTGCTCCTAAAGCCGAAATATATTCATCAGTTTCAGTCTCACCTTATAATCTATTTTGATTGTGTAAGAAATCCCACATAACAAAACTTGCAATTTACCCTATTAACCCAAACATCTTAAAATTCCCTTGCACATTCTCAAGAAAATGGTTTGTAGGAGGAAAGCTGGCGTTGCAGTCAGATGGACAAAAGCATTACACTCTGAAGTTGGGTATTACTTCCAGAATTCTTCCCTGAAAACCAACTCCACCCATTTCAATCTAAAAGACACAGCCTCAGACAATGCTGGGTGTGCAGAGAATACTTCCTAATCCATGAGAGCATCTACTGCAAAGTAACTACAGTATATATAAGGGGAAGATCAGATGTTTAAATAACTTTAAGATGGCCACTTCAAGTGCACTTTTCACTCAAAGCTACTACAGTCAAAGTAAGTACAATCTTTCAATAACTACTTCACAGATTTATGAAATTAGAAGGCAAAAAATAATCACAAACTTAACTGCATGTAACAGACTAGGAGAGGGAAAAAGGGTGGTATCAAAGTAAAAGGTCTGTGATAAAAATCAAACTGTGTGTCACACCAGCCAAGCAGACACTGCCACAACTGCTTCAGGAATACACTGCGTGGAACAGATTCCTTGCAATTTATGGAGGGAATGAACGCTCACCTCATCTTTCAGCTGCGGCACCCTTATCCTGGTTAAGCCAGGCCTTACTCCAGCAATCACACAGCAGCTTCCTTCCCTCCCCAGCACATGCAAACCTATTTCCTCCCACATTCCTTCAATCTGCAGTACACCTCTAGCAGCTGTTCTAACAAAAGCACTCACTGTGCTCCTTTTTTACTTTACATCATATATGAATATGTTTTATTGAAATAACAGGAAATTCAGCCAATCAGATCAGCTGTCTAGAAAGATCTGGAAATCCTCTCTGAAGACCACTCTTTTTGCCTTGAATGGGGTGTTCTCTTCATGGCTCATTTACTTGTTCTCCTGTCTTCAACACCCAAAAGAAGGAGAAAAATAAACTAGTTTCTTTTTCACCATGATGTATTTCCCTTAACATGAAACAAGAAACCCATTTTTAGGAGATACTGATTAATTTATATACTATTGATAAATGTGTAAGATAAAAGGTATCTAGTATCCAAAAAAAAAGTTCAGCATTCTTTTTGTTGAGGATGCAGCTCCTCAATGCTTTTACAAATTAAAAAGTCTAGGTTGTGTCTTTCCTATGGGAAGAAATAATGAATGGAATCCCAAATGTTCATAGTATCAAGGATCAACGTGATCTAGCTATTCCACCTGCTAGACCTGTGATCTGATGTTGCAGCACATTCCCACCGCCTACAGTGGGATCTGGGAAACACCTTAGTGGAACAGTTATTACCAGCAGCCCCTCCCAGAATCGCCCATTTTTTAGAGCTTGGCTCAGACTCTCAGTTACAGCACTGTGCAGATAACACAAACTCCACAGATTTCAGTGTTTAATAGAGAGATAAAACCAAACCTTAGTTTTAGCATACCTCTAGGCATGTTTAATCCCTACAGTTGAAATACTGACAATAAAAATTTCAGGGAAGTGCAAAGGAATGAGCAAGAGACTGACAGTCACAACCGCCATGGGAAATGGAGAACTAGGAGAAACACTGCTCCAAGCACTCGCCTCACTACGAGTAATATTAACAACACCATTAATGTTTATCCCTTAATACTCATTTTCAGAACAGTGCTATTCAATCTGGAAAAGATATTTTGACTTCCTTTTCATCATAAATTAGCTAAGGCTTAAAACTGAGTACACATTTCCAATAAACCAATCATGTCTACCATTACAGCAGTTTCTAGAATGGCTGGAAGGATGCATTTCAAGATAGTGAAGACCTAAGAATGGTTGGCAGATGCTTGCATGTTATCTCCTTCAGGAGACACCTCAAGGCAGATCTGAATTATAAAGTCAATCTTAGATAGCAGACCAGTTAAACAGCTAATGAACAGTTGTCCAGCACATGACCCAGCATGTAATCCATCATACACTGTCATGGAAGTCTCTGTCTCATCTTAATGAGAAGAAAGCAGTATTTGAAACATCCCAGAAACAGGACTTTCTATGTCATAGGGAGAGCAGGTCTGCAAACAGTTCACAGCTGTTTTGAGCATAAAGCGATTTTTTTTTCCATACGAACATACCAGAATGATGATCGTCTAAAGAAAATGTTACAAAATATGTATGGATGATGAATATATCACATGGTGATAGAGAAAAGAACTGACATCTTTAGAAAAATGAATCCAAGATAAGTCAACTCATTCCTGACAATGCTGCTTCATGGCGACGCTTAAGGCCAACATCAAGAAAAATTCCTCTTTTATATACCAGAAACTAGTTTCCCTAAGACTGTCATGTAACTGTTTGAGAATCTTTGGAAATAACACATTTTTAAAAGCTGAAGAATCTGAAAAATTAAAATAGTTATTTAAATGCATTTTATATAATATATTGAAAAGCTGCAGCACAATCTGTCCACTGCTACTGCATTATCATCCACCCTCTACACATGCATCGGAGAATTGAAAGTCTCTGCAGCCAGGTGAACCCCCAAGCACACCTCTTTGAAACCACATCACAGTATTCACCTCCTTTTCCCTTTGAGATTTGTAGACTGCAACAGCCAAAGGATAGGGGAATATATTAATTGTTCCCATTCATTCCCACCCCTGCAGACGGGCAACTGCACTCCCCATGATGGCTTTCATCTCCTTGTCTCCACCTTTGCACTGAGTGATGTTCAAGATGCTAGCAGCAATCCTCCCAGGCACAGCTGCCTCTGAAAGGCAGACATCCACCCCCCCCCCCATCTTTCCTCCTCTATGTTCATGCTTGCAAGTAGAACGCAAGATTCCTCATTCACACACCCCACTTCCCGATCACCACCGCATAATCCATTCTCTTTCCTCCCCGCAACATGAGCCCAATACTGGTCAGTATCAGCCATCCTTCTACTTTGGTCTTGGTATTTTTTTTCCAACAACAGGCTCTCAGCTTTTTCATGCCCCTCCGCTGTCCCTGTGTGCGCACGCACGCACGACCCTGTGCAAATAAAACACACCATTTCCTCCCACATCAGCTGCTTTTCCACCTGTGCCAGGTTCTCCCGCAGTGTGGTACAAATTCCCCCTCTCCCCCCCATCCGTGTGTACACAGCCAGTTTTCCCTCTTCCCTTCCCCCACCCCACAGTCTCTGTGCATGCCTCTCCCAGCGCCTGGAGTGGGGGAAGGGAAACATGCACTGCGTGAATGAATGGGCTGAAGAGACTTACCAGAAATTTGGTGAGGAAGGAGTGGAAGACGAAAAAGGGACTAAAGATGGGTGTTTCCTTCAGCGTGCCAAGTGCTGCTTCAGTTCTGGCTCCCTTAAGGAGGTCACGTGTCTCGCTAGGTACCCCTTTTCCTGGATCCTCTACTAACCAAAAAGGGTGGCACGGAAGTCTTCTGGATGCCTCCCTGCACTACACCCCAAAGGAGGGAAGGGTACTGCTGGAGCTCCCAAAGCAAGCAAGCAGTGATAACGTTCTTCTGGTCCTGTCAGGCACTGTCTAGCGGATACCTCTGGGACCAGGGTAGATTTCTGAGAGAGGGAGGGGGGAGTAAATCAATGTTTAAAATAATTCCCAAATTGTTCTCCCCTGCGGAGCAGGGAAGGATGGGAAAGAGTAAAAAGAGTACTGGTGAAGAGCTGTAGCTTTTCTATGTAAAAGAAATTCAATCCTTGTGTCTCTACTTCCTCAGAATTAAATCCCTAAATGACTGAAGTCACCAACACCTAGGGAGGAAAAAGAAAAAAGAAGAAACATCCCTATTAGACATAAACATACAAAGGTATGAAATAAACGAAATCCCAAAGGAAGAAAAGGTACTATTCAAAACAGTAAGCAAAGCCAAAAGAAAAATGATGACATGAACATAATTAGAGGAAATGTGCAACTTTAAGTATTTTACACAAATATACTATCACACAAACCAATTTTAAGGGGGAAAAGCCCTTAAAGCTAAGCAGTTTGTTCTTCTACTTAAGAATGTGTGTTCAATGGACAGACAAATCCGTACCAACAGGGGAACATACGAGGAAATTAAGTTTCTAAACCTACAAAAACTATTCCTATTTATTTGTGAGTCTTTAAACCTCTCCCCCAGAATAACCCTTAGGATTCAGATGAGAATCTGAATCTGGAGAAAAGTACGTTTCAGTTCAGAAGCGTGTATTCCTGTGCACTGGGAGCATATACTCCCATGCATTACAACCCACGCTGCCACAGAAAATAAACAGCGGTTTATAAACGGTGACAAAAAAAAGAAAAAAAAAAAAAAAAAAAAGACAAAAAACCCAAACCAAAATAACACGTCTAGAGGATGCTTGCTTAAATGATGGAATCAATCCAAGATTAACAGTGGCACGCTTGGAACACGGAGCCCCTGGTAAGATCTCAGGCAGTTAAGACACCGATGTGCCACCAGCTCTTTTTTAAACACCGGAAAACAAAAGGGGAGAGGAAACCTAGTTGGGAAGATCTTGCTGCCAGACCCAACGCCAGCCACACACCCCCCTAGCTCCATCACGTGAAGATCAGCCCCCACAGCCACGGCCGCTCCTCACGGACCCATGCGGGGACGCGGCCGCCGAGCGAGCCCGCGGGGCGGCGGCCCCCAGCCCGCGCTGGCAGCGCACCGACCCGCCCGCGGAACGCGGGTCCCGGGCCCCTCCCGCCCCTCGCCCTTCGCACACCGAGCGGCCGCCGCCGCTGCTCCCCCTCCGCCACCCACCTGGGCGCCGCGGCGGGCGCGGCGGGGAGGCGCGGGCAGCTCGCCCCGCTCCGCGCGCGGGGGACGCAGCACAATCACCATGGGCGCAGCGCGGCGGGGCGGGACGGCTGTGAGGGGACGGTCCCAACCACCCCCCCGCCCGCCCCCTCCCTCCCGGGCACGGCGGACCCCACCCCCGCGGGCTCGCGCCCGCTCAGCCCGACATCTCACCCGCCCCGGGCACCGCCGAGCCTGAGGGGACCCGCGGGGCGCCCACCCCCACCCCCTCCGGCACCGGGCCTGGGAAGGAGGGCGCGGGGCGACGAAGGCTCCGGGGAGACGCGCCCCTTCCTCCCCGCCGGCGGCGCGGTCCTAGAGGGAAGCGAGCGACGCGACGCGACGCTCCGCTCGTCCCCCCCCGCCGCCACCCCGCCTTCCCCCCGCCTCGGTGTCCCTCCTCCCCGCGGCTGAGGCGAGGAGGCCGCGGCTGTTCCCTGCACCGAGCCCCCCGCCCGCCGCCGCCTCCCGCGCTGGCTCCCGCCGCTCGCAGCATAGCGGCCGCGGTGCCGTAACGGCCGCGCCGCGCTCAGCACGCGCGGGGCAGCGCGAGGGCGGCCGCGCCGGGATGCCCCGGACCGGACCGGACCGGACCGAACTGAACTCGTGAGCGGCGGCACCACCTCAGGTGGCCGAGGCCACTCCTGTCCAACGGCTGAGGCCTCCCTCAGAATGGGTCAGGTTGGAAGGGACCACAGTGGTAATCTGGTCCAATCTGCCTGATCCAGCCAGCCCATGGCACAGGATTGTGTCCAGACAGTTCTCAGATATCTCCAGTGAGGGAGACTCCACAACCTTTCTGAGCAGTCTGTTCCAGTGCTTGGTTACCTGCACAAAAAATAAGTTCTTCAGGTGGAACATACAGAGCATCAGTTTCTGCCCATTGCCTCATGTCCTAATGGTTGGCACCATCAAACAGCCTAGGTCCATCCCCTTGGAATCCCCCTCCTTGATTGCTTATAGATATTGCTAAAGTCCCCCTCTTTCCTCAAGGCTGAACAGGCCCCACTCTCTCATCCTTTCCTTGCAAGAGAGCTGCTCCAGTCCCCCCATCATCCTCATTCCCCGCCAGGACCTGCTCCAGGAGCTTCATGTCTCTCCTTACTGAAGAACCCAGACTGGACGCTGCACTCCAGATGCAGCCTCACTAAAGCCAAGTGGAGGGGCAGAATCACATCCCACGACCTGCTGACAAAGCTCTTCCCGATGTTCTTCCTCACATCCAGTCCTGCCCTTCTCCCCCACCCCAAACTGGGCTTTAGTCCAGCCCCTACTGCCCTGGTAGACCCCAGCCCAGGTCCTGCCATGCCCACCCAGCTTCTCCTGCAGCCCCACCTTCCATCCCTGACTGCCCACTCCAGGGTGCAGCCACCAGGCCACTGCCACTGGTGCCCAGCCCCAGCACAGCCCAGGCAGCCGCGCTGTCTGGCACTGCAGCAAACATAGAGCACCTGCTGTGCTCGTCACTGCTGCTGCTGCTGCTGCTGTTGGCATGTGGTGTGCAAAGCCAGAACCCTTGTACCTCATGTGGCAGGTAAAGGTGTGACAGAACCACAGAATCAATTTGGTTGGAAAACACCTCTGAGATCGCCGAGTCCAACCTAGGACCGAGCACCACCATGGCAGTAGACCATGGCACTGAGTGCCACATCCAGTCTTTCCTTAAACACCTCCAGGAGCAGTGACTCTACCATCTCCACGGGCAGATCTTTCCAATATCTAATCACACTTTCAGTGAAGAAATTCTTCCTAATGTCCAGAATAAACCTCCCCTGGCACAGCTTAAGCCTATGTCCTCTCATTTTATGTACTGTGACATGTCCCCCATGCCACACATCATACAGCATCATGTGCCTGACATGCTACATGCTACCCAGCGTGTAGCCAGGGCTGCACCATCTCTTGCTGCTGTCACTTCTCTAAAATAGTAACTGCTGGCAGCAAGCAAATATGACACAACCCCTTTATCAACCGAAACACCTTGTTGATCAGTTTCTGTGGCACACCTACTCAGTTTCCTCGGTACCACACCCTTTTCATTCACTATATTGTATCAGCTGTATATTTCACATTTTCCTGTGTGAACTTTTCCTTCACTCAACTTCCAGAACCTCTAGGCACAACACCCACGCTGCACACCAGGGGAACAACACATGTGTTCCTCAATAACCTGTGTTGCACTCCCAGCTTTGCAAATATGGGATGCAGCCACTGGTCATTCCCAAACACCCATCCTACTATGAATGTTCCCATTCAACCTGCCTTCGTCTGTCTCTTCAGCATGTGGCAGTGCTCTCCCACCCATCTTAATTCTCTCACCTGAACAACAGTTTGTTCACTTTGTTCTGCAAACATCTGGGTCCTACTCCCCAAAACTCACATGTGATTCAGTCAGCTCTTCTGAAAACTATTTGCTTAATGAGTATGAGGCAAGGCTACCTCACAGATTATGTCAGAGGCCAAAATCCTTATTTACCAGATATCATCCAATGCTCTCCTGTCTGCTTGGGTTGCTTGACAAGACTTCTGGCTTCTCACAGTTGCAAGCCAGAGACTGCTTCCAAATTCAGGTTCCCTTCCTTCTGACTCTGTACAAAAGTATATGGAAAAATACACTGTCACCCACTTCAAAGCCAACTTGAAAGTACAATTTGAGAGCAAGAGGCAATCGTAGGCAAGTACCAGCAGGGTAAGCTAGCAATAGATAACAGATATAGATAAAGAACACTAAAATGCTAGATAGCATTTTTGTTGTTTTGACAGTAGCAAAATACTACTTTCTTTGACAGAATTACTACACTCTGAAGCCTTCTAGAACAGAATTCCCATGCTCATGAAGTTCTCACTTTCAAAAGTTGTCATTTCAGGCTGTGAGGTGCACAGGGTTTGTTTACACGGGAATTTGCTAACAAAGAGCTACTGTGGTATCACTGCTCTGCTGAAGATTGTGCAACAACTGCACATTGCCAGCATGCACACGTATTTCAGAGTAAAAATTGCATGCTGGTTTTAAGACAGCATAAAGCAAAGAGGGAAGGAAAATGTCTGCATTAGGATTTATATAACTATAGTGACACAGTAATAGCAGAATTTTTTTTCTTTTATATTTCAATAAGTAGCCATGTGGTAAGGCAGGTGCCTCTGCTGCTCAAACATGGTTAGCAGTTTGTGGAAAGAGGAGAATCGCACAGCTGGGTAATTCAGGAATGTAGATTTTTGGCCATACAAATGCATGTTTAGTTATAAGACATCTGAGAGGAAGTCATTCTACAAATACAGGAAAAACACTCGTCATGCTAACAGTAAGATATTTGATCTCAAACCATTTGGGATACTTCAGCTGGGTCTTACAATTATCAGTAACAATTTATTCTGCCAACTACCAGTTACCTTTGTAGTGGTCTCTCATGAAAAAAGGTAGCCCTGTATCCTTTTTATTACTGTTCACTGAGCTGCTGGAATTGTAGTAGTTGAGCTTTGTCAAGGTTGGATACCCTATATCTCTAGTACAATTTCCCATCATCTAGAAAACTAGGTGGGTTTGGAAAGGGTCTTGAAACTTATTTTCCCTTTGTTGGAAAGGTAGAATGTAAGAAAGGGTCAATTTATTACTTAAAATGTGCCAACCTAGGATGTGCCTACTGCTGCAGAAGCTTTTGAGTCTTTTTTTTTTTTTCAAGAGTTGTCACTGATTTGCATGTAGATGTTATAATGTTATAGTTCCCAATAATTAGGCAAGACTTTTTTTTTTTTCTCTGCCAGTGATGGCAAGGTCTCTTCTGTTACCCATAAATCTATTCTCAGGACAAAATTCTTACTATTTTATAGCACAAGAACGATATTGGACAGTGCCCTCAGTGTCAGTGGTCCAGAATACCAAGCTTCACCCTTTAGGGAAGAATTATATTTATAGTATCAACAAGGAATTGATGCCTCTGAACACTAACAAATCCTGGCATCTTTCTTTTGAGATTTTTCCCATGCACTCTGTAATGCACAATGTAAGGACTGGTCCAAAGCCTTAATGTATGCAAAATCTGATTTCACGGTTGATTCCATGAAACATCTTTTGTCACTGAGTTCACTACAACTGCAAACCAGCTGTTTAGTCCTGAAGCCAAAGCCTGAAGGATATTATCCCATTATCCACGTTGTAAAATTTCATATATTGTCTCTGGTTGGGTGTATGACCTTGTGATGCAACAATGATGGAAAGTCCAGCATGAAAATGTTGCTAAGCCTCATTATTTATACTCATTTTCCTGTGTGCTGACTATGTGCTCCCCTGTGTCTTCAGTAGCTACTCATTTGATCAGCTAAGTCTCATAGCGATGTTTCTGCTTCCCGCTTGGATGACTGAATGGTAAAAAAAAATGTATAACGCAAGGTATAGGCCTGTGTTCACACATGAATGCTTGGGTTCACATATGAACACAGATGGTCCAATGAAGGGAAACAACTTCTGGCCTGTGTTTCAACAGGAAAATGGCCATATCATTCTTGTTTCATACCATGTAAAATGAGACTATGCCAAATGGTGCAAAATCATATTTAATTTCCTACAATCCCAGCTTCTCATTGGTTCTGCTGTTACACTAATTCCTGTTTTGAATTAACTGCTGTAAGATAGCAGAAAATGGAGAAACTACTGCTAACACAAAGGACTCCCAGCTAAGGGGGTCTGCAGAAAGTTCCAGGTTTCACTGACTCAGTCACATACCAGGCCCTCCAGAACGTGACACCCCAGCTTGCAGGTGGCTCTGTCGCCCGTGTCCCTGACTCCAAGGGGATCATCGCGCCCATGTCTCTCCATAAACACGGTCCATTGCCCCATACACACGGGTTTCCCATGCCAGAGGCCGCCCTGCTCCCCACGTCCAGCTCCATGCCCTGCTACCCGCGGCACCGAGTGCCGAGCTGCTCCTCTGCCGCGTTCGGGTGGGGACGGGCCCGGCGGGGACTGCCCACCGCTGCTGCCGGGACGAACACACCGAGCGGCAGCAGAGGGGTCGGGGTGGGGAGGCTGCGGGTCCAGTGCGGGAGGGTGCAGCCCCAGGCTCGGCTCCGCTGGCCGCCCGCACCCGAGCGCGCATCCGCATCCTCCTTGCCCGTGTGCGGGCGCGGGCGGGCGGGGCGCCGCGGGCAGCGGTGGCGGCGCTGGTGGCGGCGGTGCCGAGGAGCCCAGCCTTGCCCGTGGCAGCCGGCGGCGACCGGCGGCGACGGCGAGGTCTCTGCCGCCGGGCTGGCTGCCAGCGCCGCCGTCCCGCCAGCGGGAGTGCCCCGGCGTGGGGGCAGAGGGGCTGGGGCAGCGCGGGTGATGCCGCCCGGGGAGCGCCGTTCG